GAAACTAAATTGTGGAAACATCCCGCAGAGTTTACTTAACTCAATCCAAATCCAAGATTCAGTGAACGTTTACATGAATTATTTACTGTGCACGTGATACTCGAAAGCTGAAGATTAAACAGGGTCGTATTGATTACATGATATCAACATCTTGTTTCATAATTACGTTTTTCAGTTTTACGAGAAACATCCGATGTACGCTACACGAATACCCGATTACAACCCTGTGTTAGTGCTTGTTGCGAAGGAGCAAGCCATCGATATCAAATTCACAAATGCGCGCTGCCCCATCCGCTTGTTGCTACTCTATCTTTGATTTGGATCGATGTGATTTTACTTCAACAAGTATTCTGAAGGACATCGTTCGGCTTGGTATATGAAATACTTTCTTCAATGTTGCGAATCTCTGGGTCATTTCTGACGTATTTGGATACTCCAATCTTTATGGGTTCATGCCTTAGCACCCTCTCTTACCGGAATTGAAATTCATGGTAGTTCCCTGACGTGTCGACTACTGACGACGGATGCCACAATCTACATATATTTCAATAGGTTAGTTTGGCTAGGTATAGTCGAAATCACGAAAGATGACGATTACGTCATCATTTTAGTCTGAAGTAAAGACAAACGACAGCGATTTGTGAATATATTTAATGAAGTTTCAGATATATAAAGATGAATAGTTAGGTTATGTTAAAGCAGGTTAGGTTGTTTTCGAATAATACTTTGGTTTTTGGTGTTAAGGTTCTACTCATAACTGTTTTCTTTTCAAAACAAAAACTCCCCACTAAAATTATTGTTAAGGTATCACTCAAAACCATGATATAAAATGAAAATAAAAATAATCAGTGAAATAACCTAGTTTCACAAAATCATAATATAAATTTGTTGTCATTATGTTTCTGACATCGTGATTTTATCATCGACGTACGTCCATTGATTACTTCAGTTTAATTTATGGTATGACGTAATAGTCATGTTTCGTGATTTTGACTGTATGTTGGCGCTGTCGCCATGGTGTCTCGGTGAGAAAGGGCTCTACTATGTAAAAATGTATTACATTCTATTATTTATATCAAGATTAACTCAAAACTTCCCGTGAAATATCAATAAATTTTTGACTAGAATATCAACTTGTCCCGACACGACTTGTTGTAAACGGACCAAGGCAGCTATGGGACTTCCAGGTTTAAAGATTCGATACCGATACTTAAACTCTAATAAAATTCATAGTTATAGTTGCCGCTATGCTTGAAATTGTGTATATCCTCCATCGATGGAAGTTGATGTACTATATTAAGCGATTGAATAACGCATCCTAGCTGGAGATATCGAACCCAGTACTGTTTTCCAGTGTCCAAAAATTATCCGAGATGAAATGAGATTCCATCTTTGCGAAATTGCTTTGAAAATATTAGTGTCTAATAGATACCGCTATAGCCCCAACTATATAAATAAAAATATATACCCGGTAGCTCAACAGACGTTCTATGCCGTTCTTCGATCAACTCGAATAGTACATCTAGATAATCATTAATAAAATGCTACTTTCGATTGCCAGATTTTTAATTTCCTACTCTTCGATACAAGCATGACTGATACATATACGTGTTAGAAAAATATCTTTATCGTTCATTCCATACGGACACAAGCATTCTATGTTTCGGTGTTGCTGTGATAGATGCTACTCTGCCAAATAGAGATACATACATCCTCAATTATGCTGTTAAGTTTCTTCCCCCATCGTCATATTTATTTTTACTTATTAACGCCGCAATTGCACAAGTGCTAGTTATAACATGATGTCTTTTTTTAGAAATCCGTTATTCAGTATGTACTCGGGTACTAGACCGGAAGAGAGTTGCATAACATATCGTACTTCACTGCTAATGCGCCTTATTGAAAGATACACCGCGTTAACCGTGTACGATGTGTTTTGCTCTGTTCCGTTTTGGTACCAGACTATAATTAGGCTAAGACAAAAGAAGTGTGGCTAAAATAAGAGAATTAAAAATGATGACAGAAAAAAGAAGAAACAGTGGATAATTAATTTCGTAGTAGTATTACTGTGTGGCGGTAATGATGCGCCAATGTAAATGTGTAACTACTCTCGGAATTTGAGAAGCAGGAAAATTCATTCGATATCAAGGCGTTTAGATTTTTGCTGTAATTGATATTGTTATGGTTTCGGAATATTCTTCCATTACATTTCTCTGGTTTAGGTTGCCATTTGTCTTTTTTTACTCCTGATAACTTTCAGACGTATTTTTTTAGAGGCTGGCCATTCATTTGGTGTTTTGATAGCACCGCGATTCTATGAAATTTTATAAGGACCTACAAGATCGGGAACTAACCTGAATATGCCTGCACGGGTATTATTTAAAAAACCTATAAAATGTCGTTTTGCAGACTAGGTGATTTTTACAGTCATTTAACGTTTGCTCACTAGGATCGTTGTGAGCGTCCATCTATCGAGGAATGGTTCAACTACACGCATTCTTGGTTGCATATGATTTGTGAAGCCGAGTAGTCTGTAGTTTTCATCTCTGAGAAGAAAGTAGGTTGAATAGCAAGTTCGCATCTGGATGATTGTATGTATTGGTCTGCATGGGTATAAAATCAGTGATAACCTTGATAACTGAAGTCTCATGATGTGTAGGCAACACGTACAACTACAAACCGAGTTCACAACGTGTCCATCAGCTAGTGCTAAGTTAACATCTTGTAAAAAACCTACATAATGTCACAAAAAACCAATATAATGTCAAAAAAATCGTACATAATGTCTCTTTTCAAGATACGTAATACCGGTGCCGGACACTGATATGACTGGAAGTCATTAATTGGGCGTTGGATGATCCTAGTACAAGTACTAGGCTGATTGCAGTCCAGTTAGCATGTTTCCAAAGTGCGTCGAGAATTTTAAATCGGGACGTTTTAATTTTCATAATGAACATATTTGGTGGTTAGGAAATCCCCGTTCTTTAGGAATCCACTCGTTTCAACACATATTTTCTAAAAATGCCTGGTGCGGCACTTTCAATGGTTAACTGTTTATATACGTATTGCCACAACGTTTAAATGCAAACTCGTACTTAGCTTTTCTAGAGAATTACATATAAAATGTGTTAGATGATGTTCCGTTAGCAACGAGAGTACGAATGTGGTATCAGCACGATGGTGCCCACAGCATGTTCGTCGCGACATAACCGCATCGTTAAATAATCATTTTAGACAACAATGGATTGGCAGAAACGGACCCGTACATTGGTCTGCGAGATCTTCTGATTTGAACCCCCTGGATTTCTTTTTGTGGGGCGCTTTTAAACACCTAGTGTATCTGAACAAATTAATACTGTTGATCAGTTACAAGAAAGAATAGATAATAATAATAATAATAATAATAATAATAATATTTATTCACTCAGATAATGCGTTACATCAAATTCAAGCCACAACAAATTTTGCGGAAATACGTTTTTCTTTATTAAAAAGATGCCTCACTTGTATCCTTCAGAAAGGTGGTCTTTTTGAACATACATTGAAATAAAGCTTTGATTTTCACGAAAACAATACTTAGGTAAATCCACATACCAAATATTAGTTTATTCCGATTGACGGTTTTGAAGATATTAAAAAAAATGTTTTTTATTTTCGAACTCCACCGCCCAGTATCTTTTTAATAAAGCCCTCGAGGAAAGACTGTTAGATAGAAGATCCCCCTTAAAATGCGGTCCTGCATTTTTTTTTGGCTTTAGGACCAAGCCATGCAGCCAGAAACTAGGTTGTTATATTTACATTTCTAATTATGGACAAACACACGACGTCACAACATCCATGGCGAAGGCGAGATTCGAACTCGCGGCCCGGCCGGCCGGCTGATCAGTAGCACGACACTCTGACCTACGCGGCCAACCGAGGTCCCCAGTCCTGCGTATGATGTTTCATTCCTGCGCACGAGATGTGAATCATCCTGTATAATGAGAGTTAGGGGTGGAGTGAGGACAGTGCAGTCGGGAGTGAATCATCGCAGAGCAGTCGACGTGAAACGCGATCAATTATATATCGGTTATTAGTTTGTTAAGGTCTAATAAATTAGTTTAATTAGTGACTACATCTTTTCGTTGCGTTATTTTTGTCAATAATTTTTTGTGGACAGACATTTTATTCTCTCATATGACTATACGAAATCAGAGATCAGACAAATTGACATTATTAGATATTAACGTAGATTAAACTACAACCATGCCATATAAACGGGCTCGCAATAACATTGGATATTTTCAGAGTTCTAGTCTAACACCGAATCATGCAGTAATGCTGAAGAATAGACGGAGATACCACAATGAGAGTGCTAAGAGTTTCCAAGGATCCTGAGTATACCTACCCGTGAACCTCATACCCTGCATTTTATTTTCAATTATAACTTGATATTCACAGTCAAACATACTGCCGCTTCTGATCAAATATTGATTGATTCACATTTACTGCGCAGGAGAAGATTTTTTTGAGTAATCTGTTATTTGAACTCAATATGCTACATAAGTTGTCTTCATTATTTGATCATAAGCTTGGCAATCAAAAGTAAAGATCTAAATGTGTGCAGTCTAACATGGAATATGGCAGTGCAAGCAAATGAACCAGAGCAACTAAAGAACATAGAATGTTTGTGTTGTGTGTTCCCATAAATATAAACAAATCGTGTTATACAAATGTACAGTTAAATTTCTCTCTTAAAGCGATTTTTTGACTTTGAAGTATGGAGGATGAAAAATCGTTTGTATCGGTCCAAAAACTTGAATTCTATGGAAAAAGGTGAATAAAATTGCACGAATCTCAAAGTCAACAGTTACACTAAAAAGTTGATATGTTGACGTGCCAGATACGATAGTTGTATGACACGCTATAATAGGCAAAGACCTTTGTAACCATAATGTTATTAAAGCTTGTCTGTCAATGTAACGACAGTATTTGAGCCTTCGGAATCAACAATATGCCTCATCACTGAAGACAGTTTGCAGTGGTTAAAAAATTACTGATAGCAGATATTTCCAAAACCTTTATTCTCGCCTATTATATTATAGTTATAATTTGATTTAAATGCAAAAAAAAACGTTTGATTATTATATATCCTACCTAACCAATCGCTGCATTAGGTGGCATTATACACACATATGCATATCATCAAACATAACAGTAAGAGAAAGCATTAATGAATCACAATAATGTTTGGTAACTTATTTTAAGGAACAATACCTACGGTTAACGTCTTTAATAAATATGATGATGCTATATTATATGTAGGTATCTAATAGACTTTGGTGATATTCTTCGATGACTTTCCATCATATCCACTCATACCAGACTCCATGAAATGTCATCATTCACGAGAAACTTTCAGTATATAATTTAAAGTACGTTTCCAGTACAAGTACCGGACACATGTTGCCGGCACGTCAGATGTAATATATTCCGGCTGTCAGAACGTCTGGCACGTCTAGTGCACTTTATCCATACAAAAATGCCTGCCACATGTAAACTGGAATGTTGTCTGCACAAGTTGTGGCACATGTCGAGCACCACAGTTGCTTGCAGAAGAATTGTGTTGAGGTCTTTTTTAAAATATTGTTTTGCCTGGTTAGCAAATAATAAAAAAGCAGAAGATATGTAATACTTTGCGTCCCATGGTTGTTGGTTGTCAGGTTCTAACAAACTCACAATAATTATGAAGAATTAATCAGCTTCTACAAATTGAATCATCTGAATTCATTATGTATCGATACCAATATTCGACCTTTCGGAAGACAGAAAATAAATGTGGGATGCCTAATACAAATATTGTCATGGAATGCATATGGCTTTTTACAACAGTTCTTTAAATCGACTTAATTGAACAGAATACCTTAATCGTCAAAGAGTCAATGCTTCGATAGTAATATCATCATTAGATTTCCACATCTATGAGTTACTAATTTATCTTCTATCTCTCCCAAATAAAAATCTCTGGAAATACCACCTAGATGAAGATTCTGAGTGCGCCACGATATCAAGGATTTAGAGAAATGAAGGAAACCTTGACCTTGAAATCTAACCACATTCTTGAGTGTAAGGACATTGGAACGACGAGCTTTTCCATTTTTCCAATTTTTAGGACCAAAAATGTTCGATTGGAATAACTCAAGTTGACCTTCAAAAACGATCTCAAGCTCATATTCGTGGTCACCACCGGTTATGATACGACCTTATCCGGATACTACGTACGAGTATAATGAATATCACTGGTTTATCTGTTATGCTTGGATATGACGCGCGCTGCTTCCGCTTGCAGCTCTTCCATTTGGCAGAAGACGACGTACCTTGCGGGCAGCACCAAAGCGTCCAACTCTGCTGTCAAATGCCTACGAATGATGCTCTTGCTGGCGGGGATTCCCAGAGCTGTTGCCATCGTGTCCCCGTTGAAAGACGGTTCTAGAACTACCAACCCCCCGTGCACGCCACTGTCTGAAATTTATACGAATTAATTGAATTAAAGTACTGTACGTACAGCAGTCACGAGCCTGTCAGTGACCGTGTCCAAGATCTCGCCATACAAATTCCGTTCACTTTGACCGTCACCGACAAGTCACCGACCACTATACGAACAAACATTAAGCTTAAATATGATGTTAGGGATATTTGGGCTGGCTTTATTTTAAGGCGAATCTGAGTTGTCGCTTGCCTACCCCGCGCGCGTGCGCTGCTAGGACAATAAAAGGAAGAGAGATATTAGCTCAGTCAGACCACGCAGATACGCCGCAACCCGCATACCGTGAGAACATATATACCCGCAACCGCATACAGTGAGACCATGTGTCTATGGAGCAACCGCATAGAGTCAGACCGCTTCCACACCCGAAATCTTCACGCTCCTGCATCACCGCTACGCCAGGAATACGAACCAGAATTAGACAGAATACCGGATCAAAGGTAGGCGACAAACACATTTCATTCTAGAACCAGCCGCTATACAGTCCACTCGAATACTCTAACCATTTGTCTGTGGTTTGTTATCGTGACAAGTTCGGATAGCTGCATCACTAGCTTTTCTGAACATTTTACGAGCTACTTACTTTGCTGTTATTTTAACGCCTAAAACTGTAACTCCACAAGAAAAATGCGGAGTGCATCTCTGTCTACGTAGGTCAAGCCGGTGTCCAGATCGGTAATGCCTGCTGGAACAAAACCGTCGGCGGAGGAGACGACAGTTTCAACACCTTCTTCAGCGAAACTGGAGCTGGCAATCACGTACCCAGTGCCGTATTTGTAGACTTGGAGCCTACTGTGGTAGATGAAGTCAGAACCGGCACATACAGACAGTTGTTCCATCCAGAGCAGTTGATCAGAGGAAAAGAGGATGCCGCCAACAACTATGCCCGTGGTCACTACACAATTGCAAGGAAATTGTTGACTTGGTACTGGTCAGGATCCGTAAATTGGCCGACCAGTTCACAGGTATACAAGGTTTCCTGATCTTCCGCTCTTTTGGTGGAGGTACTGGCTCTGGTTTCACATCAGTCCTCATGGAACGTCTCTCTGTCGACTATGGCAAGAAATCCAAACTAGAATTCGCTATCAACCCAGCCCCACAGGTCTCAACTGCTGTTGTGGAACCCCACAATTCTAACCTGACCACCCACACCACCCTGAAACATTCAGACTGTGCCTTCATGGTTGATAACGAAGCTATCTATGACATCTGCAGGCGTAACTAGATATTGAGAGACCACGCAGACACACCGCAACCCGCATACCGTGTGAACATATACAGGGTGACTTCGAAGTTGAGTCATTTATTTTAACAGTGAATAGATCTGATCAAAAGAAATGTTTTTTCCTTTACCATTTTTCTGGTAAAATTAAAGTAACAAAGTTATAGCCCTTTGGAAGTTTGAGTACCGCCCTGTCTCAATATCATGTGCTCGTGTTTGGCAACAACGGATATAATCCGCCTTACCGGTTCATCGCATCGGAAACAAAAAAGCGAAAGAATTTGGAACGATGTTTGTGTACAGTTTATTATTTTATTCAGTTCAGTTATACATACAGTCAGTGTCAGTGTCGCGTGTGAATAGTGTCTGTTGCGTGGCTCAAACGAAATAAAAAATGGCACATGTTTATGCGGATCGGTTTCCCAATCGAGTGCAACCAACCCCTCGTGCCTTTGTTAATGTAGTACAACGGGCTCGTGAATCAGGTGACTTAAGACCTCACAGGGGACCTCACGATCAAATACAGGTCCACACTGAAATACTTGTCGGGAGCATACTTTATAAAACAAGGTAAAAAATTTTTTTTAATTTTTTTTTTATTTTTACACACATATTTTGGTTTATCTTCCTTCTACAATCATTATCTGAAAATTAATGACTCAACTTCAAAGTCACCCTGTATACCCGCATCCGCATAGAGTCAGAACCGCTCCCACACCCGCAATCTTCACGCTCCTGCATCACCGCTACGCCAGCAATACGAACCAGAATTAGACAGAATACTGTATCAAAGGTAGGCGCCAACCACATTTCATTCTTGCACCAGCCGCTATACAGTCCACTCGAATACTCTAACATATCTTTGGTTAGGTTAATTAAGAGAGAACCAACTTCACATGATTATGTGAAATTATATGATAGAGTCCAAAAAATCAATGTAACTCTAGTAGCATGATGCATGACGCAAAAAGTGTAGCGCGTTTAGCGTCGTGGTAAGGACGCACCAGTCTAATAGGTAAATAACATAGTATTTTGGCTGTCATGTAGTAGAGTAAATTATACAAAAGACGCATCGACGCGCCCGTATTGGTCGAGCGTTAACTGTGACTTTCATTGTCACTCCAAATGGCCTGATGTCACATCACTTTCAGGTCCTCTACTTCTGTAGAAAATACATCGACTCCAAATGGAGCAGCGCGGATCTTGGAGTGATTAAATATTCAGTCAGACATTGCTCATTACTTTAGGCCTCCATGATATGTCGAGCTACAGGATCATCGTGTTTATACAAACGCCGTGGATATAGGATGATAAATTTGCGGTGCTGGCATTGCGTTGTAAGCACGGTTATTAACGCGGTGTTTGAATAAAGGACACTAGTGTGATATGACAAAGTCTGATATGCACTTTTCCGAAAGATAAACATCCGACTAGTAGCATATCACACGACGCCAAAACTTAGTACCCTCTCCAGACTCACGTGCGGATCCCGGCGTGAAATCTCGCCGCTGATCGCGGTGCGAATCCGGAAAATTGTTCCTACAGTTCCACAGTCGCAGATGTCCGCACCTGCTTCACAGTATAGTTCGCCCTTTTGACGAGTATGGTCTGTGAAATTGCTACTGCTGCTGCAGCAGGGCTACTTTGTGCTTTGGTAAATTATAATATACGTATATAAATAAAACTACAACAATTGAAAAGAAGTGGAAAAAACACAACCACTCCGGGCCCTCGCTATGAGGCAACTGAGCCACCACCTAGTCATGTTCGCGCCTTGCGAACCCTTTGTCGCGGTACAAAAAACCGAGAACAAACGGGAACAACGAGCGAACGCGACGTGAAGCCGCGAAGAATACACGAATGGAATCCACACTCATGGATCGCGGGTATCCGCGCATAAGTCTGGAGAGGGCTTAAGGTTCTCGGCGCGTTATCGCCGGAGGAATAGGGAAATGCCATTGCTGGAATGTAAGTTGTACAAGCATTGAATACCTGATAGACAGACCCGCCTGACTTCGTAGCGTTGAACTTCGTACATATAAAACTGACCGATATGTCCTCTTCTTTGTACTTAGGGTATCGCGATTGTGGAAAAATCTATGTGAGGAGGCTTTTCCCAGTTCTATTAACATTAGCCAGCTGAAAATGGATTAACCACGTTTCTTTATGCTTCTGCCGCAGTGCCTTGGAACTGAGGCTTCTGTCTGCGCGGCTGCTTCGGTGTAAAAACGTCCTAAAAGGCCGACATTCGCTGTCACTCCAAACAACTCTTTTATTTTAGGTGCTCTGTCTCTATAAAACGGTGCTAAACGCGATGAATTTTGGAATGGATGTTCAGTTAAACAGTCTTTATTGATCCGAACGATCGAAGTTTCTTCATTCGTGAAAGGCTCTTAGGCCCGTAACGTCAGTCGTCCCTACAATTGTAAGGCGCCTTTATGGCCTCCTTGATTGTCATAGTTTTCTACTTCTCCGTGTCAGAACTCTATTTTGAGGTTATGTCACAAACATCTATTTGCATCAAATTGTGCTTGCTTTTGAGTTATATCATGTTTCATCAGCCTGAAATTTCCTACAATTTAAAAAGAAAACATATCTTCACAATAGGAGAGCGCTGACGCTGATACGGGACAAGTGTAATCTAGAAATGTTTGAAGGAGAGAAAGGAGTATGACAATCAAGGAGGCCATAAACGCGCCCTACAATTGTAGGGACGACTGACGATATGGGCCTTAGTTATGATTGGGTCTTTAGTACGACAGACCAACAGAAAGTCAGACCGACGCGACGCGTCGGGATTGACATGGTTTTTCGTAATGTACACGTCGTACAACATCCAAAAATCATAATATCAAATTTTCGAAATACTTCCTTGTCCATTGGCGTAGAAAATAAAACACCAATTCGATGGTCTATTAGTGTGGCGACCATGATGCCCAGCCACAGCGTCATCCATTTGGGTATCGAAACGTCGTGTCCTCAGCAACTACCCGTCTGCCTCGTGCTCATATAAACACAAAAAATGTGCCCTGTTACCCAAGTCATCAAGCCAAACTTCGAGGTATACTTTTTGGTCAAAATAAACTTTTGGATATGGAAAATGGGATATCATGTTTGAGAACTGTGTGGTAGGTGTGTGGAAGTATATCTTTATCCGGTGCTGTTATGAGCAACGTGGCATTTCAATGTTTAAGAATGTTAGGCTTCATATGGAACCATTCTTATTTCTCAGTCGCGGTCGCACGCCATTAATCAACATTTGATGGAAATACAATTGTAGTAGGCTACAATAAATATTTGCGTGTCTTGCATCTAAGTGTTACCTTTGAGATTATCGGCGTATTCTCCTAAATCGATGCTCCGCGCCCATCGGATGAACCTTTGGTTAGTCCATACTAGAGGATCGGCGTCCATGTTTTCACACTGGTGTCTCCTCACAGCGAGTGCCTGAACATATGATGCAATTTTGAGAATTATTATTATTGTGATAGAGTCAATTAAATTAACTTCATGCTTCTCAAACTGTACTGATATATTTGGCTCAAACTATCGGAGCTTTTTTGGTTTCTATTGCGTGATAGGAGAACTGAATCGACTTACATCAACTAGCAAGAGAAAGAATAGAAGAGGATTTGCCAATCATAACTAAATGACATGTGACCATGTTTGCGATCTCTAGCACACTTGATGGTGCAAACATTTATTAAAATTATTATTAGCTGATTTGAAGATAGATATGGGTCAATTTAGTTTCCGGTGCCAGGAGAACAGACATATATACTAAATGAAGAAATATCGCGCCTTCTATACCATATACTACAGTTTACGTTGCATATACATGACGTGCTCAACATTTACTATAACGTGGCACATTCTAATATAACATAACATGATGATATGGGGACAGGGTATTTCTATTGCAAAAACGGATATTCTCACTAATTTTTAGCGTCCCTAAAAAACAATTCTTAATACATAAATGTATCATATAATATATATCCATTGTTTAAATAAACTGAATTAACCTGAAGTCTTATAAATTTCTAGTTCGGGAAGTACGAGTAGGCGGTAAGTTATTGTCCAGGAGATATAATATACCTTAATTTATCATTTCATTAATAACTAAATACGATTGTTCTTGTATACACGGTTTTATACATTTTTTGTATGTATAGTAACTGATGTGTTGTCTACATTCATCAGGCAGAAGATTATAGAATCGTGAGCCTCTGTATTCAAATCATCTTTGTCCTATTTATTTATACATCTTTTGGGTTATGTTCAGGCCTCAGGAGCGTATGTTTGTATTTATAAATAAATAATAGCAGGTTCCATACTAAGAACACAAAAACCTGATAGACTTTTTCGGTTGGGTAAAGAATGATGACACCAAAAATCATTTTCAAAATTAATTTTTGTACATCTTCAAGTTTTTTTCAATACTGTAGGCAGTATTCTCCCCCATCCAACAATGCCGTAACTTAATAGTGATTGGACTAATGCATAGTATATTGAAACCAATTGTTTTTTAGTTGAAATTCTCTAAAGAACTTGAATCTTAGTATTTGCGATCATAATCTATTTCTAAGAGCCTGAACCTGAGCATACCATTTAGGGCGGTCATTAATCATTATCCCTAAATATTTTATTTTAGACGTTCGGCTTATCTTTATACCATTATTATTTTTTTATATCTAACTAAATTTGGAGCTGTTTTAGGACTATATAGAAAGGTAAGGTAAATGTTTACTGAAATTTATTGGTAAATTTTTAGAGTAAAAAAAACTGACTATATTTCCAAAGTCTGACTATGCTGTTTTTCGAACCGATACCCATGTTTTATCGTCTGCTGAACTCGTTATTTTGCCTCGTAAGTTCAAAGTCAAAGATCATTGACATATAATAAGAATAGGATAGGTCCTAAAACAGTACCCTGTAGCGTATAGGCATTATCTCTAAAGCAAAAATTTTCTAAACAGCAGACTATGATTCATGGTATCAAAGGCTTTGGCTAGATCAACAAAGATATACAGACAGCAATCGCCTACATCTAAGCAATTATATATGTTACCTAAAACATCAACAATTGCATCTTGTGTCGATCTAGCCTCTCTGAAACCAAATTGATTGTTACATAATAATTTATATTTATCAATGAATGCATTGGACCTTATTTTCAATTTTAACTTTAGTGAAAATCGATAATATCGATATCGGTCTATTCTTTCACCTGATTTGGAAAAAGGCTTAACAACTGCAAATTTTACGATATTTGGGAATAGTTTTGAAATATTAAATCAGTCGCGCTGTTACAAAACCCGAAACACGACATTTTTACAGTGCACAGTCATTCTACTATATACCTTTTATGAAAGGTCGTCGTACTACAATTGTGTAATATTATTCAATAAGTTACAAAGATGTCTTTATGGAGAATTTCAAAATGTTCGAAACAAGGGTCACACATGCTTTTTATTATATCCAGAAGTAATGTGGCGCGATTTGGTAGCTCTATGATAGGTATATCTATATAGTTATTTCAATTTATATTGTGAAATTGTGGTGTGTAGGTATCTATTCTAAATTTTAATCACGTGCTGCGTGCACTCTGTGTTTTTTGGTAAGAATAAATAAATAAGTGGCGCATGCTTGCGATATTGCTTGGTATTTGTGTCATAGTGAACACTACCGGAAAGTCATCCTTTTCGAGGTTCATCCCTGCCGTGCTCCGCGTAGCGTTAGTCCAGACTTTCCAAGTATTGTAATTCAGATATTTTTCCAAGTACGTCACCGGTATTTCATGAATTTGATATTACCACTTCAGGTCATCATTCAGATGATTTGTTGTCGGATATTCCGACTTTTTTATAAGTAAACCTGATATACGGACACAGCAAGTGTTTACTCAAAATGGTCCTTAATGATAGCCCATATAAATTATGCACGAACTTATAAGGGCTCACTTTCGCAAACTTTAGAACATTTCTGGTATCAAAAAGTAAATTTGAACGGATGTGGGAAGGTAAACTTCTGGATTAAGTCGATAGTACGGTTTCGCTCTGGGAACTCGGCCGAACTATCCAGAACTTTTCAGCATTTGTTTTGCTAGGCGATATTTACTTGATGCACTTCCGCTGCTTTTTAACGACGGATGGAGGATAAGTACTCGCTAAAAATGTTCCGCAAACTTAGAAGTTTATAGTCCAATCATCCTCCCGTAAACACAGATATTTGGTGAGAGCTAGACTTCGGAAGTTTTACCCTACAATAGTTGCTTTGAGTTCAGAGCTTGATTGATAAGCACTTGGAAACAATGTGCAAGTTTCTCATAATTTGTTCTTATAGTCCGGGCTCCCGGACGATAGATGTAAATTCGGCAGGTAACACTGGTCAACAAAATTTTAACTTTGTCGTGCCACACGGACTTTTTTGATATTTTTTACTTTAATTGGTGATTGTAAGAAAAAATAAACAGTTAAAAAAAATTTGCTAGACAAGGATTTTATGCTATTGAGTAATTTAAAATATTAAGAAAAAACACAGATCTCGTAAATCAAAAGTTATTTTTTTTATAAATGACTTAATAATCTAAGATTTTCTTGAATATTTAGCTTCTGGTTGGTCCCTTTTAATTGTCCAGCAGTGATCTGCTAACATATTTGGGCTCCATTTGCCCTGGTACCGCTTTTCCATATTAGAAATGTCCTGATGGAACCTCTCACCGTGCTCGTCGCTGACAGCCCCTAAATTGTCAGGAAAAAAATCCAGGTGCGAGTCTAAAAAATGGATCTTAAGTGACATGTTGCAACCCAATGCTTGATATGACAATAATAGGTCGCTAACCAACTCTCTGTAGCTGTCACTCTTGTGGTTACCCAAAAAATTTGCAACAACATTTTTAAAAGCCTTCCATGCAGATGTTTCTAAATCGCTTAATTTTTCTTCAAATCTTGAATCTTTTATTAACTCCCTAATTTGAGGGCCAACAAAAATACCCTCTTTTATCTTTGCATCACTTATTTTAGGGAATTTTTCTTTTAGATACAAAAATCCACTCCCATTGCGATCACAAAATTTTTTATTAATCCTAATTTGATATGCAATGGTGGTAGAAGCACATTATTTGGCTGTACAAGGGGTAAATACTTTACGTTTTTTTGCCCAGGAAATAACGATGCACGCGTAGGCGATGTTTTTTTATATAGTGATTAAAATTAAAAAGCAGCAAAACTTTGTATAACTCAGCTGAAGTCCAAGTAATAGTGCAACAACTTTAAGATCACCGCAGATTTTGAAGGAATATGTACTGTAATTTATTTTTTCAAGTAAAAGTTTCATATTTTCATAGGTTTCTTTCATATTTGCAGCATGGGCCAGAGGTACAGACGGAAGCTTATTTCCATTATGCAATAACACTGCTTTTAGACTTGCTTTCGAAGAATCAATGAATAAACGCCACTGAGAGAGATCAAAATCTATGTCCAACATTTTCATAATCTCATTTATGTTATTGCAAAACACCAAATCTCCATCCTGAGAAAAATACGTTCTGAAGTGTTGATCACAGTTTCGAAAATAGCTAACTTTTGTATTATGATGTAGCAAATTTCATTCTTTTAGACGTGATCCTAATAGTTCTGACTGCTTTTTTGACACGTTTAAATCCCGAACCAAATCATTTAGGTCTCCTTGAGTTATCAAATGTGGCTCGTTTACAATTCCTTTTAACTCAAAGTCATGGTCCTCGTCAACACATTCACCTGAAGTGGACGGTTGTGAAAAGTTCTCAACAGACGTAGTTGCAACTGGTATTAGTTCTGGCAATTTTTTACAATGAGAGACTGGTCTTATAGCCGAAGATAAGTTAGGCTAAATAACTGTGGTTTTTTTCTTGTAATTTATACCTTTTATGTCTGTGAGATAAAAATAGCAATCTGAAACGTGATCTCGCTGTTCAGTCCATATCATGGGTACAGCAAACGGCATAGGTCGTGCACCTTTCTTCCAGTCAGTTAAATTTTTCACACACGTTATGCAACAGACATGAGGGGCCCAGGATTTGTCTTGATGGGCGACAGAAAAACCAAAACATTGGTGATAACACTCCCAACACAAGATTCGTAAAATTTCGTCGTTGTTTTTTGAATGTTAGTTCTCCGCAGACATAACAAAAAGAGTTAGGATCATTATTACACTTCCTCGACATATTCACAGGGTTAATAAATCACAAAAAAGTGTTCAAATTCAACAACAAATATTTTTATAAGGATTTACTTGTAAGCGTTTCTGTTAATTTACTGCCCTAGTACTAGTTATGAGTATTACCGTATCACAACAAATATGAGGCTAATAGACATATGACAGCTGTCATGTAATAATGAGGGTAGACTGATAAAACAAAATTAGCTGTCAAAGTTCGTGTGGCAAAACCAGTTTTGACCAGTGTAATACAACTTTGCGCAAAAAATATCAAACAAATGAAAATTGAATGGTTTTTACATTTTCTTAATGCACAATCAGATAGATTCTTACAAAAAAGCGTATGAAACATACAATATTTTTAGCGTTTTGATGATTAGATGTTGAGTTACAGGTATAAGTGATCCACATACAAAAACGCTCAACTTTGGCACTCCGGCATTTTGAAAGATAGTGATTTGGTATTCTAGGGTTACAAAGTATTCGAAATGTGCTTGAAAATGAAGTATCACATGACCCCATTCCATCGCCAACTGACATCAACTGTCACTTTCATATGCTTAGCTATAGTATTATAGTATTCATTCATGCATCAATTTCATCACCCTGAATGTCTTTTTGAAGAAATCAATGGGGTGAAGGACCTTTTTGAAAATCATTGTACCTAAAATGTCTAACTTTTTGTAAGTCTGTAACACGGAGTTCCAATAACATTTGCAATGGTACTGTTGTATGTAAAAGGGCTGATAAAATCCTCTGGGGACACTACTACATATAATTTAATTCAATTTTCTTTCCTTCAAGTCTAACTCTATGTTGTTTTCGAACTTACCTGTCTGTCATACTTCATTATTCGTAGGAGATGTATTCCATGAACAATGGATGCCTGGTGAAATTTTCTCGTAACGCCTAAGTATTTTTCTAACTCTTTCTTGCTTAAGTGTTCTAACATCCTGGCGTCCACCATGTTTTGCGCGAAGCTGTCTGAGTACTGTGAATAGATATCCATGTCCATCCATTTATTTTGTATTCGAAAAACAGTTCAAGATTTAGGGATATTGAAAAGGTTAAGAATGGCATTTTTAAAATTGGTTCTGTTCATTTCTTCAATATATGTAAAGGGTGGCCAATGTGTAACTAGTGATCTGTTTGCTTCTTCAATATCTTTAAAATAAGATAAAATAGATCCAATTGTTTTATCTTAAGTTCTTATAGAAATGTATGGGTTATATATCATAAAATGATATTTCATCAAGTACCTGAAAGCCACATAAATATAAGATTTTTTATTAGGCGTTCTCTCACTTTTTACTAGGTTTCGAAGGAAGATTTTAATAGCTTAACTAATGTCGCTTTTAAGTTCCACAGGAATCGGTCTTGGCTCCGACACTGTTTCTCTTACATATCAACGACCTTTCCTGCCAACCCAATCCACAGCTTCGCTGATGACAGTACTCTACACATGCAGGAATTCAGAGTGACAAGCCGACCTCTGTCGCTGAGCCGGAAAAAAGAAGACTAGCGATGACTTCCTCTCTGACAAGAAACCTGGAGGCTATCACTGCTTGGGGTCGCAACAATCTTGTACAGTTCAATGCTTCCAAAACGCAGTACTGTACTTTGAACAAAAAGCGTCTCTGCGCTCACCCGGTTTCGATGGATGGTCGAGTTCTGCCAAAGAGCCATTCATTTCGGCTGGTCGGAGTCCAGATCACCGAGGACCTGAATCTGGCACGAACATATCTCGTCAATAGCTGCAGCCGCTGGGAAAAAGCTAGGCTATTTGTTTAGGGCTAAGAAGTACTTTTGTCCGCATGACCTTCTCACTGTATACAAGGCTCAGATAAGGCCTAGCCTCGAGTATTGCTCACATGTTTGGGGTGCTGCCGCCCCGACTACATTATACATGCTCGATGCTGTCCAGAGGAGGGCGGTCCGACTGATCGATGACTCTTAAAAATTGGTATTTTATGCGTCTATGTTTTAAATCCCCCTTGAATAACCTGCATCAATAAAGTCAGACATTACAATTATTTTGCAAAGCAAGGTTATTTTCGTCTAACATGATTAGACTGATATTAGGAAGTTCTCACAAAAATACAACTGGGGCCGTTAAAAATGGTGATCTTGGTGCCAGATGACATCGCGTAATGGATAGATCAAACGTCCTGAAACCGTTCTCGGCAAAACATTCATAGTTTCTCTAGCTTGTGACGTCTTACTTCGTCCTGTTGGAAATACAGGTTTTGTAGGTTAGGTTGTCCTCCTCAACAGAATTATCAGCAAGTGTAAGAGCAGCATAATGCGTGAAAACAGTTTGGATTCAGGAAATGTCTTGGAACCAGATAAGCATTATTTGCGATGGGAACACTCCTTTAACTGTGTTGAGAAGTAAGAAAACTTGTGCTTCATTGTTTTTGAAAAGGCAGTCCAATATATCAAGCTAATCACCCTCTTCCTTCTGCTTTTGGGAATCGATGCCTATCAGCGTTGAACGAGGTATCAGACAAGGATGTATACTATCTTCCACCAAATCGATGAAAATAAATGAATACATCGAAAAATACTATCTTCGTTGAGTAATTTGCGGCAATGGACAGGTTTAACAGCAGACCAGTTACCACACGTCGCTACAGACCGCGATCATTATGAAAATATCGTTAACATGGAAGTTCCAAACGTTCCACAAAGACATGGCAGCCTCAGATGTATGGCTTCATCTCCCGTTAACGTTCCCCAGTCACACTACCTGCAGTGTGTCATCAGACCATACTTTTTCTGACGAGGTTACAGGTAGTTCCTTCACTGTCACTTAGCCAGATTTACCGATATATGATACAAAACACCAAAACGTAATCGCACCTAAAATTCAACAACCTAACCTGCAACGTGTCACACAGCTATATAGAAACACGATGTATGGTTAGCCGAAGAAGTGATGAAAAACCCAATCAAGATAGCTTAGGTTTCTGCGGTTTTCAGACCCTTGTATTTATGAGATTATGTGACACTCATGATCTTCAATAAAATATCTACCCAAAGAAAATAAAAGACAATTTCCTATCATAAATAAATAATGAAATAAACATGTTCACCCACCTGTGCGAGTCCCAGATCAGGTAGCCACTCGCTGCTGACCCAGGTGTGTCCCAGCTGCGCGATGCAAGGGTAGCGCACCAGCTGTGGATTTCGATGCTCCTCAATGGCCAACCGCAGTTTCTTTCGGTGCATCGGGTGCTGAATGCCCAGGCCGCATTCCAGCTCCAGGTCGCTCAGTTCCAGGAGCACCTGGCCATTCAAACGACCGATCTATAAGACACGCGCCACTCAGAGAGGATGGTAGGCCACGCACGGACACTAGGGTGCTATACTGCTAGGTTGCCAACTTTGAAATCGAGTTTAACAGACTATTTGCTGAGGAGGAAGGACAAAAATACATGGTTACTGGTACTCAAATCAATAGCGCTAAATCATATATCGTTCCGAAGGTCTTTTCATGTACATAGAGTGATGCCATGGCAATTTGTTGTTCCATTCAAGCACCGTCACCTCCAAATTGTTAAGATATTTATGTCACTACCAATGAAGTATTTCTAAACATGATATCTATTTTTATATTATCTCGTAAGTTCGTTATGCTAGCTAAGAACTCAATATGTTTGTCAACCAAGAACTGTCTCCAGTGACAATAATTCCGTCAGCCATTTCTCACAAAAGTATAGATGATTCTCATGTTCAGTCTTTTGCAGATGATACGCAGTTGCTATTTTAATCCAGATAATGTTAATAATACTACCCAAATTTTACAAAACGATGTCAGTAAACTAATTAAGTACTCTTCAGATCATATTACTTGTTAATCCTAAGATGTTACTTTGCAACCAAAGGAAAAAAGAACATTCAGATAAATAACCAAATCTTGCAATTTTCTGATTCTGCAAAATTTCTTGATGTTGTTTTTGATACAAAATTAAGGTTCACTTATCATGTTTAAAATCGTTCACAGAAAACCTACCTAAGGCTACGTACCCTGATAACAAACAGGTATTTACTAAATTTTAAGACGCGTAAAAGACTATGAAGTATTGATAAATTATTGTAATATTGTATTTGTCACATGTTTAGACAATTTCACCAGAAACGTTATTCAAGTTGTTCAATTGTATAATATGTTTCATTTTTGATCTACGTAAATTTGATCGTGTATCAGCGAAATACCCATTCTAAACTGGTTAAAAATTAATGACTTGGTCCAAGTATCACTATTCAGTTTTTGTTCACAAATTCTTACTCACATCAAAACCCTCTTACATGAGGTAAAAAAATTCATTTAATAATGATGTTTAGTGTAGAACTCTCAGAGAAGAGAATATAAGAATACTCCAGCATACGTCCACACTTCTCAAGCATACTTTCGTTCAATGTGCTATTATTCATAATGACCTTCTTAAAGGATATAATGAATTCGTTACCTGTCTTTCGACAAAATGTTGAAACAATATTACTCAACCCCCCAAACATAGAATTTACGTAATCAAGCAGTTCTTTGATAATTCGCTTGTTTTATTCAGGTTAATAATTTTTGGTATACCTTGGTTTGGAAAGTATGCCTTTTTTATTTTTTACTCTCTATATAGTCAAATCTGTTTATGAAATAGTGTATTGTTGTGAACATCTGCTAGCGGCTATATGGTTAAGTGTAAGACATGCTAAACTTCGCCATAAATTTCTTGATTTTTCCAATTACGCCACTGACCCTCAATCAAACAACATAAAACACTTTTATGCCTTGTGCACTTTTTGTGTACTGAGCTTACTTTTCGAAATAAGCTCCATTCCCGGAACGATACAGAGGACGATTCTAGGTCCTGTTCGTTAACAGAAAAATACGTTAAACTAGTCTATCGAAAATGAGTTCAATTTCAGTTTGGAGATTTTTGATGTACTAAGACCTAAAAGAACGAACAACTATAAGTACACTTTTGTCCCATAACGTTTCCGTGGTAACCAAAATACATTTTTGTCCAATAATTTCTTTAAAATGAGGAATGTTATTCTAAAAAAACAGTTGGCAACCATTTAGTGCTGGGTTATTTAAGCAGCAAGCGGAAATTCCAGGGAAAAGTGGTGCTATATGTATAATGGGTTTGTTTAAATATAAAAAAATGCGCCTTTTTTGAGTAAACAGTGTAGTCAACAGCAAAGTCTGCTTGCTCTTACTGAACTTTTTGGTCTAAGAAAAATATACGTTATCTGAATGTAGTAAGAAAAAACGTTTCGACAGAAAATTGACAAACCCAATGCGTATGTGTATACTCAAGTACCAAAATGAAAGAGAATAAATATTTCATCGTACGCCACTGCTAATATGTGTCTTTGAGTACCTGTGGACGGATGTCCTCGCACTCAAAGGTTTTGTGCTTAACAGTGGCATACACTGTATTCTTTATTCTAGTTCTTGAAGATAGTGAAGCCGTGTTAAGGCACAAATATATCAAGTGACACAGTTTCAGTTGGAAGGACAACAAGAAAAAAATGTTTAGGTTAAAAGCTAAAAAGGCATTGGTAGTAGACGTAGAAATGGTAATTAGTATTGCTTGACATCCTATTGAATATAAATAGTGAACATTTTGAGGAGGAAATGAATAATGTTATATTTCTTAATATATTTCCTTAATGCGATTATGAAAAAATATTTCAGTAATAATAGTACCTTTCCGCTTTTGATATTTTCTGCGCACTTGGACCCATACTGCGGCATACCCAACGCGACCTCAAGCCAAGCCAGCACCGTAGGTGCTCGCCACCTTTCCATAGGTATACTGCTTGCTTCTCGGAGTAACCTTAGTTTTTCTGCGTAGCCTTCCTCCGTCAAAGGCGACCAACTTCGATAAGGCTCGTAACTATGCTCACCTGGGAAGACAATTTTGATTTCATGTCATGATTAACTTTGTCAATTACCTACTACGGTATATAGGAAAATTTTATGAAATTTATCTTTTTATGTATGTAACGTTAAAAACGTCGCTCTTTTGGCATCTCGTTAGTGTCGTTCTATTAGGTTAATCGCATTCACTGTGTCACGTCACTATTTTTGAGATGCTCTGTTTCTGTGTAACAATCCGCACAAGGTTCATAACGATAGCGGTATGAGTTTTGGAGTGATTGGTCATTTAGTCAGACAATCTATATTGTTTAGAATGATTCAAGCATGTACTTTCGTAAATAGCTTTTTGGTTGGCATGACGGGAAGATTGTCAATGGGAAGCCTAATGTAACGCCCTCTGTCACCGTATTCGAGTCTTCGTTATGCAAACGTCGTATCCATAGCAATCGCCCTAATATCGCGTCTATCGTACATATATTGCTTAAAGCTTAAGCGCCACCCTAAATTTTCGTACCAGCAGTTGTTCAACTTCCAAAGGAAGTGAGTTGACATTAGTGATTGATTGCTCGTAAAACTTCTATGAAAAAAGCTTGTTGAGTAAGAAAGCATGCCTTAAGATACAGTTGTAGTCACCGTTCTTGGCGGGTCCAAAGTAAGTTTATCAGTGTCCCTTTATATATCTCCATCTCCCTCATACATACACATGCAGCGCAATGGCAGTCGGTCTTTCTGGACGCTGGCCAAGCAGATTGAAAAGAAATTCTCACGCAGTAGCCGTCCACCACTTACGTGTCAGGATGGAACTATTGTATTCGACTCAAAGGCCAAGGCGGAAGTGCTAGCCAAGATCTTTGCTGCCAACTCCACCATGGACGTCCCCTCCAACATCCAAGTGCCGTCAATTCAAAGGGTTCCCTTTACTATGCGGGAGGTAACATTAAGGCATAAAACCGTGAGACGAGTGCTCTTGTCGCTCGACATCAACAAAGATTTTGGTCCGGACTTGATTCCTGCCATTGTACTGAAAAGGTGTGCCGCGGAGCTTGCTACAGTTCTTTCGCGTCTCTTCCAGATATCTTGTGGATCCGGCACCTCACCAGAAAACTGGAAATTTGCTCATGTCCGACCCATCTCAAAGAAGGATCTAAGACCGACCCTTATAACTACAAACCTATAGCTCTGCTTTCTGTTATAAGTAAGGTGATGGAGAGGTGCATAAATCGCCAGCTTCTGGACTACCTCGAACGTCACAGCTTGATTAGCGAAGGGTAGTAAGGTTTTCGACACCAACGATCCACAGGGGACCTCCTAGCTTACGTCACGCAATTGTGGAGTAAACTCATCCAGTCTTATGGTGAGGCTCATATCGTTGCTCTTGACATCACGAAAGCATTCGATCAGATGTGGCACGCTGCCCTATTAAGCAAACTTCCATTATATGACCTCCCAGAAAAGCTTTACAGATGGGTGGCTGACTTTATCTCTGTCCGCAAGATATCCGTCGTAATTGACGGGTTCTCCTCTTCATCCCATATCGTCAACGAGGGTGTTCCCCAGGGATCGGTCTTGGCTCCGACACTGTTTCTTTTACATATCAACGACCTCCTTTCCTGCACGATCAACCCAATCTACAGCTTCGCTGATAACAGCACTCTACATGCAGAAATTCAGAGTGACAAGCCGACCTCTGTCGCTGAGCCGGAAAAAAGAAGACTAGCGACGATTTCCTCCCTGACAAGAGACTTGGAGGCTATCACTGCTTGGGGACGTGACAATCTTGTATAGTTCAATGCTTCCAAAACACAGTACTGTACTTTGACGAACAAAAAGCGTCCTGGCGCTTCATCCGGTTTCGATGGATGGCCGAGTTCTGCCAAATAGTTATTCATTTCGACTGGTCGGTGTCCAGATCACCTGATCTGGCACGAACACATCTTGCCAATAGCTACAGCTGCTGGGAAAAAGCTAGGCTATTTGTTTAGGGCTAAGAAGTACTTTTGTCCGCATGACCTTCTCACTCTATACAAGGCTCAGATAAGGCCTAGCCTCGAGTATTGCTCACACGTTTGGGGTGCTGCCGCCCCGACTACATTATCCATGCTCGATGCTTTCCAGAGGAGGGTGGTCTGATTGATCGATGACTCGTCCCTAACAGACAGTCCCGGGACTCTTTCGCACCGGCGGGCCGTCGGCGATCTAGCTCTTTTCTACCGCTACACCAACAGGTTTTGTTCCTCAGAGCCTTCCATGATGCCGCCGCACGATGTGCCTGCCAGACAGACCCGCCTGACTTTGGCGTCCTAATGTCGAACTTCGTACATCCAGAACTGGTCGATACGACCGCTCCTTTGTCCCGAGGGTGTCGAGATTGTGGAACAATCTACAAGAGGAAGATTTTCCCAGTTCTACTAACCTTGGGCAGTTCAAAAATCGTATTAACAAAATTTCTTTGGGATCATCATAGCAGCCGCGGTGTTCCGGCATTTAGGCTTCTGCCTGCACGGCTGCTTCAATATTAAAAAAACCTGCCCCTGTGTATGAACGTTTGTTCGGTAAACTCAAAGACAAACGTTTCTCAGTTGTAAGTCTAAAACTTTGTCGATACGTATGAGTGCCCTTCAATCATATATGTCAGAGTGACAATTTACTTAACGTCGGCGTGCAATTTGAGTTGTCCTGTTATCAATCTTCAATATAAAATTGTATAATGCCCGGAAATACGATCCATGTAGAAGGCCGACAGCTCGTGTTACATTTATTTGAGTATTTCCAGGAAGAGAATGAAATCAGCGGTCCCCTGTTACCCACTTCATGCGAACTGGAGAGAGTAACAGTAGCAGATCCACCTATGGTACGGAAACTCGATCTATTTACTTATTTCATATGGCGTTGTTGACGTAACTACCAAGAACGGTCGCTACAACTATAGTTAATCTTTTATGTTATAACCATAAAGGTTTGATCGAAAACGTATTTTGTCCTTAAGGTATACTGGAGATGTAGAGTCATTAAGCAATTTATGTACAAACATAGTGATATCATGTTGGAATGATACTGTAGTTTTCAACCAAGTCCATTAATAAAACGGCATCATATGTTACGTATCATTTGGATTCTGTGTATACATATGTGATCTAAACAAGTAAAATAAACCAAGAATCCATATTTAACGATAGAGAGAACTAAGGTTCCATTTAACCGTTTTTTTTCAATATGTTTCTTAAAATGAACATATTATTGTATAGTACAGGGACTCGTATGTATGCTTTTTAGATAAAAGTATTAATCATTTTGGATACCTTACAGTTTAAGGCCGCTTGTCCACGATCAGAATATTCGCCGTTAGCTGTTCCGGTGAACTTGCCGGATAGGTGGTTATACATTATATTATATTCATGTGTGTCCACGAGCCGGCACGTTGTTTTTTTCGCCGGATACGGTACCGTTTGCACTACCGGATTCCCACTGTAGAGACGGCAGCCGGACGGCGCGCCGTGATGCAGTTAGACATGTATCAACGTGTAGGTTTGTAAACAAACCGTCAGATTCACCGTGTGGTCAATCAGCGGGCAGCGGCGTGCTACCCGATAATGCGATAACATAGGCAGTTATATTTCGATGCTTGAGGAGAGTGGTGCCGTGCGTGATAAAATGAGCTTAGAAGTAAATATTGACTCTGAGGTACTTATAACTCTAGTCCACGAAAGGCCAGTCTTATGGGATAAAACTGTAGATGAATATAAAGACAAACGATTGACTTTGGAAAGTTGGAAGGAAGTATGCAGGCAAATGAAAGAAGATTTTGACTCTCTACCAGATAAAGATAGAAACGACATTGGTATGTGCTTTTTATAACCTTTTTTGTTTTTGTATTATACATTATACAGTACTCAAATAATAATAATTAAGCAAATTTATTTTTCCAAGGAATTTGTCCAGCTTCGGAAACAAAGTAGCTAGCGAACTTCGTTCTAGTATCATTCGCTGACAAACTGCCTCGTACCGATTTTGAGCGTGTGAGTTCGTTTAATTCAGAATCTATATCCATTGCCGTATCTGCTATATTTCTATTTAGGCCTTCTTCTTTGCGAATAAAATTTTTGAGAATGCAACATGCTTTAACGATATCAGTTGCAAGATCAATGGATACATTCAATGGGCGGTGAAAAATCCTCCATTTATTAGTCATTATTCCAAACGAACATTCGATAAAACGTCTTGCTCTGCTTAAAGGGTAATTAAAAATTCGCTTGGTTTGGTCTAGTTCTCGACCACCATAAGGACGAAGTAAATTCATATGCAATGCAAAAGCTTCATCGCCTACTAGTACATAAGGAGCCTGTACATCGGTATTTGAAAGCTGCCTAGGAGTTGGTATGTCTAGTGCATTTTCTTGCAGTTTTTTCCAGAACGATGATTCTTTAAACACACTTGAATCGCAGTCTTTTCCATACGCTCCCACATCTACGTAAATGAAATTATAATTTGAATCAGCTATTACCATCAGGACTATTGAACAATATCCCTTGTAGTTAAAATACATCGACCCACTGTCTTCTGGTTTGATAAGTCTAATGTGTTTGCTGTCAACGGCCCCTATACAGTTCGGAAAATTTGCCGTTTTCTCGAATGCATATGCTATATTCTGCCATGTACTGACGTCTGGAATTGCCATATATTCTTTATGTAATAACAGCCATATATTCGAGCAGACTTCCCGCACAATCCTACTAATTGTTTTTATTCCAATTCTGAAACTATAATGGAGGTCCGTGAATGTATTTCCGGATGCTAAGTACCTAAAACAACAAACATTTTTAGGGAAAATGGTAATGAAAAAATGGGCAAACATAAGAGACAATTGGATGAAATGCCATAAAAAACTAAACGAGGAGAAAAAATCTGGTGCTGGGGCGAAGAAAGTACGCAAATATTTGTTTTACGAAGAGCTACGATTCCTTCAAAAAATTGCAGATCACCGAGTGACTTTTCAAATATTTCCGAAAATGATGGTAAAGAACATGTTTTATAATATACTTTAGGAATTTTTATAACTTTTACTTTTATTTTGCAGACCAGTCTAATACCGAAGCTTTCAATGCCCAAACGGATGCTGCCATTGCGATAGCCGAAACGCAAAATCTGCCACAAGCAGAAAAAAATATTTGCACAAAAAAAATCCAAAAGCAAAGTAGGCTCTAATGATCTAGACGAGAAAATGAGGAAGGTTATCGATGCTTCACTGGAACAGAACCAAACCCGAATTATGTCTTTTTTTCGGGGTATTGCCCCAACAGTAGAAACATTTTCTGATGAAGATATCGTCACATTTCAGTATGAAGTGATGAAAATAATTAAAAATATTACATGCAAAAAACAAAGTAGTCAACATTTTACACAACAATCCGAAAGTTTGTTCCATGAATTACATTCACCGCGTTATGAATTGCAAACCACAGCAGGTCCATCATCAACAACAGCCTCATGGAGAAATTCAGATCAGTATAATCAAAGTTACTCTTCAACACACAATTCGCAACAGACAACGAACATCAATAATTCTTCGGTCTGTGAACAGATGTATTCACAGACCTATACTAGCCCACAATCTAGTTGTTCCAATGATACAGTTTATGATTTTGCTACTTAATATGGTTTTCCGTTACAGGTTTTTTTAATTAGCTCAATGTTAATTTGTGTTATTACCTGTATTGGTATCTTCATGTGTCAAATGATTCCTTAGAATCCTTAATAATTTATCAAACGATTCCCTTGACATTCGAAAAAAGTTGGAAAACTTTTCTTCGTCTTCTCTAAGCTTTTCGAATAATGTATTAAAAGTTCCAAATTTAAATCTATCTTGCAGGAATGGCTGCACCCAGTATCTTTTACGCCTTCGCTGTCTTTTTTTGTAAAAATAATATAACGCAATGACAGTACATACATCGTCCATTCTGATAAATCAAACGTACTTCACTGTAGGCTTCAGTAAACTGACGTCTCCGTGAACAAAGCCAGACTTATTTTCTACCGTCCGGTAAATTTACCGTGCCGGCCCAAATTCGTGCCGTGGACAAGCGGCCTAACACTATTAATGACTATACTCTTTAATCCTACTTCTGTCATTTTCTCGGGACATTTATCCGGATTTAACTTAAAATTATGTATTTTTGATTGATGGTTTATAGATTCCAGGTCACTGTTGATTTGTATAATAGCTGTTCATAAATTTTCTGGATTGGAATTATGAATTATCTGGGTATCGTCGGCATAAATATGTACAAGTATATCTGAAGTGTGTATAAACAATAAAATTGGACCAAGAATTGAGCCTTGTAGTACTGCGGATATAAGCTTTGAAATAGAAGAAACGGTATTATTCAACGAGACCTGTTGTTTGCGAATTTGTAAATACGATTTGAAAAATGATGCAGAGTTACTGTCAACGACATATTTTAATTTACTAAATATAATGTCATGATCACAATACAGGTGAATGTTTTTGAGTAAGCAATGGAAACAATTGTCGATGCTTATATCTTTATCTCTTGCTCTAACGGCTTCGTCGACTAGATTCAGAAGTGCAGTCATGGAACTGTGATTCTTAGGAGAACTGTGAAAAGTTTGATAAAGCTAGGATGTCCATGGAAAAGTTCCGTAAAAGTAAAGATGCAAAAGTTTCAATGCGACTATTTGGGCTTGTGTAACATGTCATCTAGGTACTTGCTGCCGCTATCAAAACTCTACGGTGTGGAATGAATGTTCAGCTATTTTCAGCCATATACAGGGTGGCGCATCGAAAACGAAACAGAAGCATTTACTGGCAGTTCAGTTTTTTTTTTCAAAAACGCTCAGACCCACCATGCCCAAAATCTTAAATGGAAAGGGGGCTCGAGTGATACCTTATTTTAAAGGTCTTTCAATTCCCTTTATAATGATATAAAATTACTGTACTTCAGTTCAGTAGTTTTGAAGATTTATTGATTTAAAGCTTAAATAAGACTAATATATCATCATTAGCGGAGATCATTTGGCAGCAAAGTAATTTAAAAATGAAGAATGAACTGACCCGTTAGGCAAGTAAATGTTGAAAATGGCCACCATGACTCTCCATGCAATAATAATGATTTTGCTCAAAACGTTGCCGCAAATTTTGCAATATTTGAGGAGTAATTTGAAGGCACTCATTCACAATTCTTTGTCGCAGGTCTTTAAATGACCCCACATAAATAAATCCAAAGGTGATAAATCTTGCGATCTTGGGGGGCATCCAATGGCACCTCTTCTACCAATCCATCAATCTGGAAACGTCTGATCTAAATATGTCTAACACGTAATGTGGTGGGACACCATCCTGTTGGAACATCAAGCTATTCGCAATGTACCGGCGATCACTCTGATTTTCAATTATGGCTGTTAATGCAGGATCTATGGCATCTTCCAGTAATTCCAAATACATTTCACCGGTCAAATTCCAGGTAAGAAAAAAGGACCAACTAAATGATCGCCAAAAATACCAGCCCAAACATTTAATTTTTGTGGCTGCTGTGTATGAACCTCATGATAAATTATGGGATTAGAATCGGACCAATATCTGCAGTTATGACGATTTACTACGCCATTTAAGAAAAAGGAGCATTCGTCGGAAAAGCAGGTGTTCAATAGAAAATGTTCTTCGTTTATAATTCGTTCACTCATATCTTCACAAAATTGTAATCGCCGATCAAAATCGTCTTCATTAAGTTCTTGTACCAGATGAATTTTATACGGATGAAAACTATGGGCCTTTAGAATCCGTTGGACAGTATGTCGACTAACACCACACACAGTCTCCAATATCGCGGGTACTTAACTTAGGATCTACATAAACTTGCCCTAAAACCCCCACTTCTATTGCTTCGTTCCTTATGGGATTTTCAATGTTGCGTTTTTTATTGACGACTGACCCAGTTTCCCGAAATTTAGCTACAAGTTCTAGAACATATTTTCGATGCACGTTACTGTTCTCATGTCGCTCATTAAATATTTCTGCTGTTCTATTAGCGCACTGATTATTTCCGAAAAATATTTCGATAATTTCAACTCTTTCTGCTGTGGAATATACTATGGCTAATTTATGTAATAAAGCGTTACAAGTTATTTTAGCAACAAAGTTTGGTCAAATCAATCGCAAACTATGTACTAAATTCCTATTTAAAATAAGTACGAGATATTTCCTTATCTTTCTTCAAGAAATAACTTTTTTGTTACAAAAAAACGCTGCAATAGCTATTTTCAACAACAAAATGATAAACAAACCATGGGCGTAGTGAAGAAAATCATTTACTTATTAAGTAAATTCTTTTAGTCAAATTTCTTCTGAAAGTAGTACAAACTAATCTGATGTACCTATTAAAGTCTACTTTAAGTTTTAAATCAATAAATCTTCAAAACTACTGAACTGAAGCTCATGTATTTTACATAATTATAAAGGGAATTGAAAGACCTTTAAAATAAGGTATCTCTCGACCCCCATTTCCATTTAAGATTTTAGGGTTGGTGTCATCCCGTGCTGCACGTGTTAACGCGATTTTTTGCCAAACTTGTGTCCCCCTCGAAAACAAAATCGACGGGTCTGAGCGTTTCTCCAAAAAAAAAAACTGAGCTGCCAGTAAATGCGTCTGTTTCGTTTTCGATGCGCCACCCTGTATAAATAATAAACCTAAACAGATTCTTACTTACTTGTTTCCTGTAATGAACTAGTTTTGTTTCGATGCCTTGATCTGGCAAATACCCTAGATATACTACCCCAAGTTCCTCCTCGACCACTCGATGGCCTTGAGGATTGTTTACTTCTCCTACCTACTGCTATTGGTTCCGTTTCTAATGGAGAACTTAGCTGCTCCACCGACCTGTACGAAAGAGAACATATATGTAGTCAATTTCACTTCTCTACAAAAAATTTAAAATGTATAACTTGCAACATTGTAAACATTTTAAGAAGATTCGGTACATGTATTAAACCTTAGTTCTTACTTAAAGTCTCAAAAGGGACGAAACTGGGGTGACGCATTGAATACTTGCAAACTCTTGGAATGGAAACGCATCTGTCCCGCGCACGAGTATTATGTAAAAAACATATAAAACGTCAAAAAATCTATAAAATGTCATCTTGCAGACTAGGTATTCTTTGGGGTGCAAACAGTCATTCCACGTTTGCTCACAAAGATCGTTGTTGGATGCATGTTTTGAGAAGCCGAGTAGTTTACAGTTTTCATCTCTGAGAAGGAAGTTGGCTGAATAGCAAGATCGCATCTGGATGATTGTGTGTATTGGTCTGCATGTGTATAAAATCAGTGATATTTGCTGTGTGAGAAAATTATTACTGAATATGCTGCCAATGAATCTATTAGCTGTGCCCGACGGGTTATTTATATGTTGTGCGTTTTGAAGACTGGTTATGTTCATAAATTATGATTTTTGCGTCTTTTTGTGTCTTCTAAAACTTGTAGTTCGTCAGTGTACAGTGAATATAATTATTTATTATCTCTCTAATTTTTGAAATTCAGCAAATTTGCTTATGGAATTTCCAGAATGGATAAGAAAAAGTGGATGCGTTACTAATTTCTAGCTTTGAATCTCAAGTAAGTGTATTTGAGACAAGAATCCAATGGAATTATCAACATTATCACATATTAGTAGCACAAAAATTCTCACTTTGCATCTGTGCATTGCCGTTACCTCCAGTAATGCCAGATTTTGCATTACATCAGAGCCAAGCATTGATAACTGAAGTCTCATGACGTTTAGGCAACACGTACAACTACAAAACGAGTTCACAACGTGTCCATCAGCTGGTGCTAATTTAACATCTTGTAAAAAAATCTACATAATGTCACAAAAAAAAAACAATAAAATGTCAAAAAATCGACATAATGTCACTTTTCAAGATAATAATAATAATAATAATAATACACATACAAAAGTGTCTAGCACATATTACAAACTGAAATGTGCACTGCGCAAGTTGCGGCACAAGATAGGTACATGCCAGAAGTTGCCGCACATGTTGCACCCCACAAACGCGCAGTAGGTTTGTCCAGTCTGCTTGGAGAGAATGTTTCCATAGAGGGGTGCCTTGGTATTATTGAGCATGATTGAGGAATTCCTAATTGGCCCAGAAAATTAATTTGGTGTTTGTTGTGAAAAAACTTCGTGGGACCTAAAATTGTATGCTGCGAGCCGCTATCTTGTGGGCTTGCAAACTGTGACTGGGTATATAACAGAGGCGTATTTCAAAACTAAGATTTGCCGCGCCCTATGAAAGGGTGTGGGCATTCTTGTGAGTATTTTGTCAATACTGATGTACTTCCCAAGTTTACCGGACCTATTTTTAAACGGATTTATCGACTCATGGTGGCACTCCTGCCACAATTTATCTGAAATTTATGAGCGGGTTGTTGCAGATCCTCAACGTTGGTCTATCCAATTACTTGTGGTTAACCCTTGGAATCGATAATGCAGACATGTGAAATCACGTAGACCTACCGGAAATAAATGTCACCCTGCAGGATGGCGATATTTCAATCGGATGAATTATTACGTGCCATCAATTTGGTTTGTGGTTATTCATCAGCGTCCAGCAAATTGTCAAATAAATAAACATAAATAAATAAGTCGACCCGATCATGCAAAAATGAATATCTAAATTTGTTAAAAGTGTTTATTCTCTATGACATATTTTGAGTAACTTTATTTGATTTACAATTAATACACGTCAAGATAGAGCTTAGGTTTGAGCAACAATGACTTCGTAAGTATAATTACGGATTTAGTCAAACGAGAGAACAACAACAACAATCTAAAATATCAGTTGTATCACCTATTCACAAAGCAGGAGATAGAGAATATATAGGTAATTATATACCAATAACTATAATCTCAAATTTAGCAAAGATATTTGAAAAATGCCTTAAGGTTAGATTGGTTGCATTCTTGGACTCAAATAAGCTGTTATCTGAGAATCAGTTTGGTTTTAGGCAAGGTTTAAGAACATCACATGCGGTTTATGAATTAGCGTCTAAAATAATGTATCATTTAAATAACGGTGATAAGTGCATCGCTTTGTTTTTGGATTTAGCAAAGGCATTTGACACGGTATCTCATCCTACGCTCCTCCAAGCACTGGAGAGACATGGAGTTAGGGGTGCTGTGTTAAGTGTATTTAGAGATAATTGAATGCATAGGATTCAGTGTGTCAGGATTGCGGACGTTCTAAGTGAACCTAAGACGGTTCAGCATGGAGTTCCACAGGGTACAGTTCTTGGACCGATTCTTTTTAATATACATGTAAATTACCTCTGCAGTCTTGCAGTTGATGGCGATGTAATTGCCTATGCTGATGACACCGTGGTAATGTTTGATGGAGAGACATGGGAATCAACGGGTGAAAAATTGAAGACTGATTTTGCAAAAATTAAAAACGTTATGGACACATTTAAATTAACTCTGAATATAAAAAAAACTCATTACATTGCCTTCTCTATAACCATGGCTAATAGACCAGCATTTAATCAAATTAAACTTGATAATTTTGATGAGACTTTGAAAGAAGTAAATGAAATTAAATATTTGGGGGTTGTTGTTGATAAGCACTTGAAGTGGGACCGACATGTGCTGTATTTGAACAAAAAAATTAGATTTTTCATCCATAAATTCTACGCTCATCGTAACATACTGAACACTAAACTACTATTAATGATTTACAAAGCACTTGTGCTGCCACTATTGGTATATGGCATAATTGTGTGGGGTGGGATGTACGGTTCAAATCTTGGGCAGTTAAAAGTGGTGAAGAACCATATTGTAAGGATTATTATAAAAAAACCTAGACTATATCCCACTGAGCAACTTTATTCTCAAGAAATAAACAATATTAAAATCTTATATATCCTTGCAGTATGTAGTTTTGTTCATGCAAGTAGGAAATTAAATACAAATTATGTGTCCCACAATTATATGACCCGAGCAAACACCACTCATAACCTGAACGTCTCAAAGTCCAGGAGAGATTTAAATTTGCGTTTTGTGACATATCTTGCACCTAAATTTTACAATTTGATTCCTGCTAATATCAGGAATATTGGAAATAATAAAAAATTTAATGTTTCGTTTAATATGTTCTGTTGGGAAAATCGTGAACAATTTATGCGTCTATTTTAAGTTGCTTTGAGGTAGATTGATCTTCCTATTTGTTTCTTTTCTTTCTTTTTGATATTATTGTGACATTTTTTTCTGTGATCTTAAGTTAAATCTATGACTTACAACAAAAATATAAAATTTTCTTTCATTTTGTGTATATCGTGTTTCATGTTTTGTTTGTATAGATGAAATATATATTGCACGATATTTATCAATTAATTACTGTTGTGGTCTGTTTTTGCGCATACAAGTTTTTAAACTTAGGCGCTCATATATTATAGAGAAACCTTGTTTTTGTTTTGTTAATGTATAGATATATATTATTTTTATATTGGTAAATTTGGGTTCTGCTGAATAAATGTGGTAGAGTTCAGGGCGTACTGTTCTCTCCAACAACAAAAACAAAGAGAACATAGAAATGTTACTTACCTAGATAAAGAAACTGGATCTATCGATCTTGAAAAGTTGTTTGCATTTAATGGTGATAAAGTCGGACTGCAGTCTTTAAGTGAAGCTGAAATTATATTATTATATATGTGCATGTTTTCTTATATGTTAAACGATGAATATTTTTCAAAATTATTGTTTCAGAGCAAAAGTAATAATATATTTATAAAGATAAATATCTATTCACAAATAACAGATTTATTACATAAAAACTCTAAGAATAATAATAATTTATTTGCCAAAAATACAGCTTTGTTGCCAGTACAGGTGCAATAATGACAAATTAAAGCACTGCCACCGAAGAGAAACCTACCTGAAAATAGCAAACCATGAATCTGTTTTCTTCAGTTGAACAATTGCGCTTTGGGTTAATTAAACTGGCTTCATAGATTCAAGTAAACTGTCTTAGAAATTGGAGTTTAATCAAATTAATTAAATTTTGCTCTCTTATATGAAATCTAAAGATTATCCATATATTCCGCCGAATCCCTGTATAGCAAAGTTATCGCGTATTGTAAAGTCATGCTTACATTGGTACATATGTGGTGGCGGCGGTGGAGGAACCGTCGAAGCCAGAGAGACAGAATCGATGTCTTTGCAATCTCCTATCGCAATAGTAGGAGCGCCATCTGTTGAGTCCGACAGATTGCCTGCCACGGATGTTGCTCCACTTTCTCTATCTGAGGAGACCTGCAACAACGGAAGATTGTTCTTAAAGATGCACGACTACCAAAGCAATATAGAGTAACTTCTTGTTGGCTACTGTATACGTGTGCGTGATTGAGAAGAAGTGTAATCAGGCGCGGATCAAGACCTCAGAATTGCAGAAAAAAATTCGGAAAGTGAAAGAAGGAGAGACCAATTTGTTTTTTGTTTTAAAACTTAAAATGATTGTGCATTCTGTTCCTAAACTGCTGCTTATTATTTCCTCCTTAATTACTTTATTGTGATAAATAATAGTTTAAAAAACTAAAAAACTCGCTTTTATAGCTAAGCGAGCTAAAAAGTTTTACAAAGAGTTTATATTACAGAAGTAGATGGTCGAACAATCATAAGTAATGACATCAAAATACAGTTATAATATAATTTAAGTTATTAACAGAAGCATTCAATTCAGAGTAATAAGCGTGGGGTGTTTGATATATCAAATGTTTCAATCATTTTCAACTATCTATGAGAGGAAAAATATGAAAATGTAGGAAAATGCACCCCACGCTTTTTACCCTGAATTGAGTTATTCTCTTAATAACTTAAATTTTATTATAATTTCATGTTGGGGTCATTAATTATGATTAATTGTTCGACCATCTAGTACTGTAATATAAACTCTTTATAATTAAAAATTATTTTCTACGTTTTAGTTCGGTTAGGTATAAAAGCGTGTTTTTAGTATTCTTTAAACTATTATTTATTTTTCATTTTTTAGTTCGATTGAGCTACAGCTACAAGCGGCATTTCAAAGCCGTGAATTTTTAATAACATATATGATTATTACAGAATTTTTCTAATTTATTTATTTACTTTATTTATTTATTTAGCAACATCCAACAGCCATAGCCAATTACAGGATGGATAAACATGAAAATATAAACAAATGCATGTTGTGGATGTAAGTAGAGAAAGCTAAAACGCTGCAAAAAAAACCTCAAAACAGAACTGGGAGGAAAAAAAGCGTTCTAGCTTTACCTACCCAGCACTCAACAATCACACCGGCAAGCATTAACGAAAATAAGCATTAATGTCTCCCAAAGTCGCACAAAACGAAAATATATCTAAAACGCTATTAACTGAATTATAATTACGGCACATTATATATATAGAGGAAAACTTAAGTATGTCAGTCCTAGGCCTGGCTAAGTAAAAAGTTAAACTAGTTCGTGACGCTAATCTAGGAATTAAGAAGTTAAGTTGTTCTAAGATGACACTGGAGTCAATAATGCCGTGGATGAGCTTGTGAATGAACTTAAGTGAATTCATTTTGCGTCTGCTCTCTAAATTATAGATTTTGTGTCTCGCCATCAACTCACTATGAGGAAAGCCAATAGCGGGATATATCCCATCAGCTTTGTATGAGAGGTATTTTAAAAACCTTCTTTGAACGGACTCTAAGCGGTCAATATATATTTGATGATGAGGATACCATACCAGGGACGCATACTCAAGCTTAGATCTTACATAAGCATAGTACATTATTTTCAGTGTAAAGGAGTTGTGGAAATCACCGGCATTTCTTACAATAAAACCATACGCCTTTGATGCAGCCACAACAGCATTTTCAATGTGATAGGAAAAGGAAAGTTTTCTGTCAAATGTGACTCCCAAGTTATTAATTGTACTAGGTCTGTCAAGTTTCCTGTTACCAATACTATATTCATACATCATTACCCCTGTTTTTAAAGTAAACGACAAAACGTGACACTTAGCAGCATTCAAAACAAGTCTGTTTTCACGACACCAGTTGTCAACCCTTACAATGTTGCGTTGCAAGCGATGACAATCGTCAATGTTGGAGACTCTAATAAGGATAATGGAAAACTGTTATTAAATTATTGCATTGTCATCGGTCCCTGATACGTGTGCAAAGTTTCAAATTAATCAAACTTTTGGAAATTCTCTTGAGTTTTGCATATGGAAATAAAACAACACGGTAGGTAGTTTTAAATGACTTTAGTGTTTTTCGAAGTATTCTCCATGAAGATTAATACATATCTGCATGCGCTCGAACCAATTTTCGAAGCACTTATTCCACTCGTTTGCTGGCAGATCCAAAACGGCATTCTTGAATGCGTCAACTGCTTCTTCTGGTGACTGGAACCTTTGACCACGCAGTCTGTTTTTAATTTTCGGGAAAGTAAATTAATCGTTAGGACTTAGATCGGGACTATCTGGAGGATGGTCCAATAATTCCACGTTTTCTTCTGTTAAATACCGCCTTGTTTTTTGGGCTGTGTGCGAGCTTGCATTGTCTTGGTGGAGCATGATTCTTCTTTCGGGGTTGATTTTTCGAAGCTCGGTGATGACTTTTTGCAAACAAATGGTGGTATACAAATCCGCAGTAACAGTTCTTTGCTCATTAAGAGGAATTGTCGCAATATGACCCGCTTTTGACACAAATGTCGTGTCCATCTTTTTCGAAACACTTCGAGAGTGGATGACTTTTGTTGGCTTTTCTTCTCCTTGGAACACCCAAACAATGCTGTACACATTTTATCAGTTTCCGGAATTGAAACGGTCAAGCATTTTTTGACACCAATTAACACTAGCTGCTTTCTGCTCTTCAGTCAACAGGTGGGGTATCCAACGAGAAACTAATTTTCTTACTCCTAATTCTTCATGTAAATTTTTTTGAATTGAGGTCTTTGAGATCTTCAAGGACGCCTCAATCTCGCGATATTTATTTATTTATTTATTTATTTATTTAATTACACCACCAACAGTTTATAAACCAATTACTGGTGGGAAATACCGTACATATATATATATATATATAAAAATCACAAAATAAACTAATAGCATTGATTGCTTTGTAATTACCAATAAGAACCCATGAAAAGCTACAACTGATCATAGCTCAATCAAACTGTGGTAGCTCTAAAAAAAAATACCGCTTTACATACTCTCTTAATAATAAAAATGGATGTGTTGAAGATATCAAAATAATTCATATAGTCATTATAACATGAGCATATCGAATATAGCGGTGAGTGCAGCAGTAGATTTGTTCGTGGGGTAGGTAGGTAAAAGGCAAGGTTGGCCCTTGTTCGTACTCTGGGTGTATTGAAATTTAGCATAGACAAAAATGATGGACAGTCATGTTGGTAATTTATAACTTTAAACAAAAAGACTAAAGATTGTATCTTCCTTCTATCATCAAGGCTGAGAAACCTATGCTTTTGAAGTAAGTTATTTTGTGAAATCCCTATGGGAGGATAAACACCATCAGTTTTGAGAGATAAATACTTCAAGAACTTCCTCTGAATTTTTTCCAATGAGTCACATGAGGTAACATAGCATGGGTTCCAGATTATTCTTCCGTATTCCAGCTTAGAAAGAACAAACGAATTATACAGCACTGTAGGTGCTGTGGTACCGATAAACTCTCTTGAATTGCGTATAACGAATCCCAGTGCTTTATTAGCAGAATTCATTAAATTAGTGAGGTGTGCACTGAAGCTCAATGTCCTGTCAAATATTACTCCTAGGTCCCTGAACTCCTCTAAAGTCTGAAGAGGAATGTTGTTAATTTTATAACTATTGGTAATTGAATTTACTCTCCTAGTGAAAGTTAAAGATTTACATTTGCTCACGTTGATAGGAAGTTTATTAGCAGTACACCACTCAGACAGTCTGTCAAGATTCCTTTGTAAATAAAAGCAACTAGATGGATCATCAATTTGCCAGTAGAGTTTTACGTCGTCAGCGTAGAGCAGAATATTGCAGTCAATCGTATTAACTAAGTCATTAATAAAAATGACGAATAGCAGTGGACCTAAGGAAGATCCTTGTGGGACGCCAGTAGATGGAAAAAAGTGAATTGATTTACCACCGTTAAAATCCACATATAGTTTGCGATCAGACAAATACGACTGAAATAATAATACCAAATTTTTGGATAAGCCAATGCTATTTAGTTTTCCCAGTAGTAAGCCATGATCGACTCTATCAAACGCTTTACTGAAATCAGTATATAGCACATCAACCTGACCATTAGAATCTGAATATGTCACATGTCTATCTTCAATGATGAGTTTGCGCACAGCATCGACGTTTTCCTGGTTGACTGTCGTTTTTGGTGCACCCACCCTGGAATCGTCACTAAGACTCACCCGTCCACGTTTAAATTCTCCATACCAACGGGAAATTGTCGACTGATGTGTGTGATTGTACAAGCCAAGCTAATAAAAGCGTGTTAGAAAAAAGTGCAAACTACGTGACAGTACCCCCTGACAGTAGGCAACCCACACTACTCCCCCCCCCCCCCAAGACGTGATCTCTGGATCTGTGTCTAACGCCCGTATCGTCAATCGTCCCTACAATTGTAGGGGCCTTTATGGCCTCCTTGATTGTTGTCGAAACGTCTGGATATGAATATGCTGCCATCTACAAGAAGATCACTTCTATAGAAGTTCGTGACTCAGCCTGGAAAAAGATGGAACATTTCTCGACGCGTCACTAGGGGAATAAGTACCCGAGCAGATGGCGGAAGCAGTCGAGGCAGTAAACGAGCAGCGAACGACGCGTCAACTCGACATGGTTATAAATATGTCATATATTAGTTGCAAGTGTTATAAAGTAATGCAGAGTACTAAATTGGGCTTTGGACAGTAACAACGCTCTTTTAGTTACAACATCTTTGTAAATACAAAAGTTACTCTATGTTGTGTGATAGATACCACCTTTTACTTAAATTACCAAAACAATAATTTGTTTGGGAGAAACTAAATACGTACCCTGACACCACTATCGGCGCTGCAACTCCCCCTATCACCTCCACCCCCTGGCGGATGGTGGGGGATGGAACCAGGCGTCAAACCACCCGCAGTGACGACACCAGCGCCACATGTGGGTATCGTGCCGTTGATGCTGTGTCTAGGCAACGAAGCTAAGGATTCTTGGTCGGAGAGACAACAGCCTATTCCAGCTGCCTGCATTTGACGACGAGCCTAAAACAAAAGAAGACTCTACTCAGGACTAGCATGACAGTCGAACATACAGTTTTCCGTAAATCGTCTAGCACAGCAAGACTTTTAACAGCAACTTAATCAGATTATAGTTTTCTTGCACATTGATAGGCAGTCGAATACGATGTAATCGATGGATTTAGCAGCTTTCCATTATGCTTTGGTCAACTACTTGTAATAACTTTTTAAATTGTTCTACGTAACTAAGTTGTGTGGTCAATTAAACACAAAGGTTATAGGCGAAACTACATATGAACATTGCTCCCAAAGGTCTTGAAACCTCAATAGATCCAAATTAAGGCATATTGGATTAAATCACTTTAGCCATATTTTCAGATCAATAGGTCGCTGCCCCGTACAACCGTGTAACAGTTTAAATATAATTTTTTGTGGTAACTGTAACTGAACTTTACAATTTCAAATATCTCATGCGGGTATCATTAGACCTAGTAAGTAATAAAAAAGTAGATGGTTAATATACCCAATGATTTGAAAAAAACTAGGACGATAGATTAGCTACTTATTTGAACAACTTAAACTTTAATGACATTTAGAGTTACACAAAATACCAGCAGCTTTACAAAGGCACTTTCTACTTCCACACTTAGTTTTACAGTGGAATCTTTTATAGCTTTGACCATCAGCTTTACAAAGGCACTTTCTACTTCCACACTTAGTTTTACAGTGGCATATTTTATATCTTTGTCCATCAGATGAAGATTGGGCCTTGGCAGTGATTTGTTTTCGGGCGAAACATATTCAAGGTCTAAAAATTTCAATTCGCACATGCTGAATTTATTCCTAGAAAAAAGTTCGGGCACTATGACTGGGTGCCCAACTGATATAAATCATCCTCAGTACATTCAAGTACCACCATTAAAACATTTGGAAAGTCTCCTCTACCTCTATCAACGTCAGGAATTTTGACACGGATGGTATCACACTTTTCACCTCCCTTCTGGTCACAAAGCTGTCAAACTGCTTTTTCTGTAATTTCATTTCAATGGTATTCGATTTCTGTCTTATTTACCTCGCTACTGTTAGTTTTCAACTGTTCAAGAATTTTCTCCAGATCCTCATCATTTTCGATCTTTTCGATTGCTTTGAGAGGCAGAACTAATGATCTTAAACCATTAATATTACAGCCAAATATTGCTTGGTACTGCAATCTTTTAATTCCATGACGATATGCTCTATTTTCCAATAGTTGATCAAATCTTAGCCTTTCAGACAATTTTTGACAATTTTCATCGGTCTATCACACCATGAGCATTTTTTCGACATCTTGATTGGCACATTCTACGCTACCTTATCACTGGCTATGGCGCTGCTTCCCATGCACATTTCTGTCAAATTTCCCACAACTCTGCTAACGATCCTTCCAAAATTTTCATCATTTTTACATTTTGTTCTTGGCTTAACGGTCTTTGCATGTTTGTCTTGGGTAGTTGCATAATGGTATCGAGTATATTTAAACCGGAATCGATTATTACATTGGAACCCGCAGAGGTAAAATTGCGCTGACCAATGCACTTTAGACGAAGTGGAGTCTTCGGTGGCAGTGGAAAAACCACGGAAGGAGATTAACCAGATTAGAGATCGATCGGAAAATTGCCGATGCTAATTCGCTGAAACAAAGGAGGAAAAGGGAGCGGATATTCCCTGTATTAGTTTCAACAGGACAATGGGTTGGGTTTCAGATGGCTTAGAGCCAGAGCCCGGCTTTCACCTCAGCTCTATGCGGAATTTTCGAGCATTATTCCGCTTTCAGCGCGAGCTTGTGGCTGGGAATGAATATGGCCCAGCCTGTCAGCACCGTGAAAAAATGGGATTAAGGAATAATTGGGCAGTGTTTTGGCTGCACGGAAAGAAAATCCTTCCAATGTCTATAGATGGCGAAGCGAAAGTATTTCCAGAAAAGTATTTTTGAAAATAGTAAGACAGGCACCAACAGTGAATTGCAGCTGTAAGTGAGAATTTTATATGCAGATGATACTTCAGTGGTGATATCGAATAAGTGTGAGGTTACTTTGACAGAAATTATGGAGTTTTACTGCAAAGCAAAATATTCACAAGTAGTTTAGCAGCAATCAACTCTACCTACTTCTGAAAAAACAGTTGAAACCTATGGTATTAAATATCACTTTTAATGCTCCAAGAAAGTCTCTTGACACTCAAGTAAAATTGTATCTACATACAGGTTTAAATTTTGACGTTCACTGTGTATATATATTCCTTCTTATAGAAACTCCCAATCATATTTTATGAAAAATTTGCGTCCTTACTGAAGCACAGTTTCTGTTTACTCTATGCTCAAGTTGAGACACGACTGAGGTATGCACTATGCTTCTGGGGTTTGTCTACAAATGTCCAAGAAATATTTTTGTCCCAAAAAGTCGTTACATGTATGATTGGAGTCAGTAGTAAGCATTCTTGTATGAATATTTTTCACCATCTTAAGATTTTAACTTTACCACCATTATTTTATAAGGAATGGCTATGTATACTTTTATTCGAAAAAATAGGTTTTTAAACAATTGTTACTCGTGGAGACTTGAATGTGTTTTGCCAAGTACAAGATCGGCGTCAGATCTCCGGAAATACTGGGACCATACATTTTTTAATAGGCTATCAAATCAGATTAAAGAGTGTGGAGATATACATGATTTTAAGGCTAAACTGACAAAATGTAGATGCTATTATGCCATCTCTGAGTTTGTTATTTTATGATTTATTCGTGTGTTTTTTTGTTTGTTTTATACACATATTTATTTTATGTGGTTTAGTAGCTTTTAGTCTGACGCATCCTTACATACATTGTAATGTCTCCAGGGATAATAAAGAATTTGAATTTGTAAACGTATCTCAGTTCGTTTTAACAGCCGAATCATCGGTAGGATCGCTAGATGCCACCGACAAGATGTCAACTTGCTGCCTAGATATTTTCTAGTGTGCAAATAGAACATTCCGCGTTTGTTCGATATGAGCGCTGTGAGCGTCATCAAAAGCGTCCATCTACGGATGAATGACTCAACGATAGGAGACGCTCAATGAGCATGCTGCATGCTTTGTTGGTTGCAGAATGCCGAGATAGTCTGTAGACTATGCCCTAAGAAGATGTGTGGTTGAGTAGCAAGATCATATCTGGATGATTGTATGTATTGGTCTGCATGTAAATAAATAAAATCAGTGATATTTGCTATGTGAGAAAATTATTAGTGAATATACTGCCCATGCAATATATCTATTAGCTGTGTCAGACGGGTTACTTGTGTTGTTTTTCCCCGTTTTTGCGTTATCAAAAACTTTGAGAAGCATTACGGGTTGTGTGTAATTGAGCCACATCACAAAAAAATTAGGAATGACGCTTCACGTACAAAACATTTTCGCAGTGCTTCAAATTTAAGCACTGATTTGTATGTTCTTCTTGACATCGTAAGATAAATTTCTATAAAACTTAAATGACTGGAAATAAAACTTAATATGCAATGTAACAACTTTTTTACTTTTCATAAATATTCCTGTATGTACCATATTTTCTTACCTATTCGTTTTAATATACTTCACCAAACAGGGATTCCATTTTTTATCGCTCTCTTTTTTGACAATCAGCAAATTTGCATATGTAATTTCCAGGTTGAATGAAGAAAAGCGGATGCGCAACTAATTTTTTTTTGCTTTGCGTACATCTCAATTAAGTGTGTTTGAGACAAGAAACCAATGGTTTTATCATCAACACAGATTATTAGCACACAAATCCTCACTATGCACCTATGCACTGCGGTTTCCTTCGAGGTATATACAACTGTATATACAACTTACAGCTTAGACCTCCAATAATGCCACATCTGCAACAGATGTTACATCACATCAGGGCCAACTATTGATAGCTTAGCATCATGACGTTTAGGCAACACGAATAACTACGGAACGAGTACACGTCAAGTATACAACAGCTGGTGATAAGTTGACATGTTGTAGAAAAACCGACATAATGACACAAAAAACCTATATAATGTCAAAAAACCGACGTAATGCCACTTTTCAAGACACGTAATAATACCCCTGCGGAACGTATACATTAAAGAACTTTAAAACACGTGGTTTCATTGGCCAGACAGAAATGAGGGATTATCGACATGAAAACCACAGGATAAATTTCAGATGTACAGGTAAGATTCGGTTAGAGTCAGGTCCTGGGTGGGACAACTAACGAGAGTAGGACAAAATAACCTGTCGGAGGTATGAAAATTCAATTACATGGTTGTTTGAACGAAAGAATTCAGTATTTACTGCAATTAATTCGGTCATTTCGAAAACTTCATAAGTCACACAAATTGATTTTTCCAGAAGACAATAAAATCTGTGCCACTGACAAATAACCCAGTTGTAAAGAGATATATTTGGAATATTGAAATGTTGAATAATCTTCACGGTGCTTCTTATTTTAGAAAGAAATACGGTTAGTGGCATATAACTTGAACAAACGAACCATATTAATCACATATTTTATTGCTTTTTGTTGAACATTGCTCTTATTAGCATGTCACATATTTCAATTTGGCATATTTTAATATCTTTGGAGTACATAGGGGAAACCTGCGCAGAGTGCATACTCCGGAAAAATTGAATTTTCTGTTCTCCAGTAATCGGCAATTGGCTGTAGAAGAAATCACATGCTTACTTGACTACCAGAGAGTAAAATGTATTTGTTTCAACAAATGATCCTGTAAGATAAGTGTTATGCATGTAACTTCAGTTTTAAACTATCATTACGAACAGTTTTGTAAAATATTTAATGCCTATTTATTTGACTTTCCCAGTCATGAAAATAAGTAAGATCCACGCGGTATTATTTGAATGGGAAGTCTTATATTGTCTCTAGTAGATTTTGCCTAAAATACGCATCTACCTTTAAGGAAGCATTTCCAGCAAAAAAGTGCCTCAAGTAGGTTGACTCTTCACTTTCCACGCAACGCCGATAGCAGCTCATAAAGGATTGTTTAGCACCAAATAGACCCTATGAGAAAAAGTCAGTCAAACAGGCACATACAGTTGGTCCATAGACATTCTTTGCCTGCTCTACCGGTAGTTCATCTGGAAACGTCACCTCTCCCCGGTCAGACGTGGCAGCGCGATCAGAGCACAGGAAACACTATGCCGTGGCGCAGCAGAAATACGTGTAATAGCATACCAGAACCAACAACAGACCACTCACCAACACCGGCGATGCGCAGTCGGGAGCAGCAGTCGCGGCCGGTAGGTACGCGATCCGTCTCCTGAGAATATCTTTTATATTTTATAAGTTATAACGACTACTGAGAAGTCTATGATGTGTGAAATATATCTAATATGTGGGTAGAATTACCAGTAACATCAGAAAAATGAGAGAAACCCTCCTTACAACTCCCGCCCCCAAGTTTTTTATCTGTTTTCTTTTTGCAAAAATGATCAGGATCCTGTGAAACATCAAAAAACGAAGTTTGATTCGACTTCTATTCATTTTCGTTTTTGGCCTTTTTATCTGCCGTCACTTAACCGATTTTCAAAAACTACATAGCTTTTGCGTCATTGAAATTCGGGCAGTACTTCTCAAGGTATAATCTGTTATAAGATTCGTGGACATACCAACAGACAGACTGACGTGAATGAGTGATCTGGTTTTTTGTGATATACATGTTATATAAGATCCATTTTAAAGAATTTTCGCATTTATAATACTTCCCTGGCAGTAGGCGTTGAAAGTAAAAATATAATTTTTTTTAATTGACTGGTTGTTGAAATGACCGATTTAATTTTGTTATTGATCTTCTAATAGTTTGTATCATTGTGAGACTCCTCACCTCCTGTAACTGTTCGTGAGCTTGCTGCAACTGCAGCTCTTTGGCATTCAGCTGAGCGGCCAATGAGAGGCTCCGTTCAGCCTCATCTCTGGCATGTCGTAACAGGCTCCAACGTTCCCGCTCCCGTTCCTCCCGTTCCGTACACAGTTGTTGAAGAGAGGACTCATTATCCCTTGACTGCTGAAACAAAGAGAATTTGGTAGACCGAGAACGCACGATTAATATACAAAATATCATCAGTGCTTCTGAGAGCGAATGCCTTTATGACAATGAGAGAGCGATGTTGATCTTTGATTGATACAGGGGGGTTATGACCCGCTGGAGCCACCTTTGGTCCCAAACGAGCGTTTTTCCAAAGAAAAACTGATCTGCCAGTAAATACGTCTGCTTCGTTTTCGATGCGCCACCCTGTATATACCCTGTATATATATATATATACAGGTATATACAGGTATACCGTGTTCGAATAGCTTGCAGCTACGAAGGATAGAATGGAAGGTTTATATGGTGAAACCGTATAGTTATATAGTCTGATACTGAAACAGAAGAGACTAGCAGAATACATCGTATATCATACAAATAGTTAAGTGGTAGATTAGCTTGTAGCTAAACTTCGCCTGAAATAAAAGTATGGCGTATGTTGTGCCATGGCTCTTCTGTTTTGGTACCCGGGTAGTGTAATAGTTTAGAGAACAATTTCGAATTTACCTATTTCCTTGGCCTTTAATGGACTCATCACAAATTACTTGCATCAGTAGATTAGTTTATTTTGATTTGACAAGTGATCTTTCTTATTTTCCTTAAATTGGTGTAGCCGTGAATGATCGAGACTGCTATAGAGACGTTAGACAACTTCTTGATCCAATTTTTGATTTGGGAAAATCTTCTTCTAGCAAATTGTCGCACATTATACAACTAAGGAACGATTATATTGGTTATACCTTGATATACAAAGCGCGACTGGATTATAACGAGAGGCAAAATACTGGCAAGTTCGTATAGTAAGTCTAAAACAGAGCGGCATCACAGAGAAGTGATCGCAGTACCAAATTCCGTACTGGTAGACCCATGCCAGATCACAAATAGATACAAAATGGACTTGAAACTGTCTGTCAAGGAACCATCACCGATCAGTCGAACAATCTGCCTCTGAACCGCATTAAGTATGGACAGTATAGTCGGAGATGCAATTACGCATAGTATTCTGTTTTCACCGTGCCTCCAGCAGGTCATCATTCTGGAGTGGATCATGAAAATTCAAATTTATAATGTTACACATTATTAATGATCCCCAGAAGATGGAAAAGGCAGCTTCATGCGAATTTTTAACGGCGCTGGAAAAGCTTTTCAGAGAAATAATAGTTTCAGAATTGTGTGTTAAACAAGGGGAAGGGACATTAGATAATAACGACCAGTTGAGTGATCGGCTGTCAGGCCTCTAAGGGGGAGGTACCGACAAATGGGTCTCCAATGGCTTAGGGTTTTGAGATGGACCTTAACAGATTCCCTGGAGAAATATTGCAGAAGGATATTTGATAGCCGAATGGACAATCTTATGAAGGTAAAGATAGATGTATTTTGTTTTTGCAATGATTGATTAATATTATTATAAATAAATCCATTTCTTAACTGGAATAACAATATTTCTTGGCGACAATCTAATAATAAGTTTAAAGAACTTGTACTATCGAATTTAAATAAAAATAAATGTATCTATCTATCTATCTATCTATTTATCGATCTATCTATCTAAAGATCATTTTTGCTATGTGACCTCCATATTTTTGCTGAATTTACTGCCTACCCTTTTTACTTCGACAATATATCCACGGATTTCTTCATGGTCAAATTTCAAAATTATAAAGCAGGAATTTGACGTCAAATAAATCCATGAGCTTCTTCGTGGATTACTTTACGGAATTAGAGCTTGTTATAATTTTTTGCCAAGTTGGACGTCAAATTCTATGGTAACATCCTTGTTTTCCTTATTATATTGAACAACTTTTCAAGTATAGAACTTTGATAGAACTGCAGTGTTCAATAATGTGGTTTTTGTTTATGAGACTTACCTCAGAATCTAAATATTTCTAACAAGAATTTGTTGTGTGGTTCGCAGCACTGCCACGAATTTGTCCATTGATGCAAACACCGCAAAACATAATCCGGATGACCTTGAAGAAGTCCATCTGAATACATTCGTGAAAAAATCGTTGATGTAAAACGGTTATTATAGTCCACTTATAACTTAACCACTATGATACACCAACTGGCAACGCTACGAAAGCGCAAAGTTTAATAGCTCCTGTTATATCCCACAACTTTATGAGATTATTTCACTGAATGAACCGTATTATTTTAAACACGTTTTGGCTTTTGTCTCCTGATATTTCCATTTCTGAGAAGAATGTTTATGGGATAGAAGCTTTCAGGAAATGGAGTTATCGAACTGTTTTAGCGGGATGACCTAATTGCAAGAAACTTCCATTTTTCATCTAAGTTCAGAGCGTTCCAGTTCATCACTCTATTGGATTAATCCAGAAGCTTACACTCCTGGTATAAAAACTATTTTGGATTAATAGAGATGTGTCGCTTTGAATTAACTTACTTACTGTAACTGCTTCAAAGATCTTAAAAACGTATTGTCACCTGCCAAAATCACGTAACGTTTTTTTATTATTTATCACTTATCCGTAATTTGAATTTCTCTTCATTGATAATATAGTGCCCATTCCCAGACCAAACCCTTTTCAATGATTTTCTTTTGGCAAATTTAATAGTTTATTGATTGTATAATTTCACTCGTATTATATCTTTTGTTCTCAGCGATTCAGTATGGTGTTGACGATCAGCAAAAAACTCTGTAGTTTTTCTCCATTAGTTGGTTTCTTGTAAAACATATTTTCTTCAAGGCCACTCAAGATACCTTCTTCTAGAACGTTACGTGTTCTGGGTGATTCGCTTTTCTGTTTCCGTTGAGGTCGTGGTGCAGGGGTCGTTTCGTCATTTTCCGAACTGCGGGATATTAGGCCCCAAGCGCCAATTCATGGACTAGCACCCTTCGCTTTGTGTAACTTAAGTTTAGTTATTTTGGTTTGGGTGCTACGTCTTCCATTTTTTTCATTAGATTTTGACCACCTTCGTCAATAGAAACAGAAGAGAATCATCATCCTTTCTCCTCCAGTTGATTGCATCTTGTTGCAGTTTTGCAAATTGGTGGAAGCCATCCCCTTGAAAAAAAACCTGATGTGAACAGGGTATTTTTTCCGTTACTACCTCAATTTTTGGCAACGAGGCAAGCAGCCCCTGCCCAGTGACTGGCCACTTTTGACCAGAGTTGAGGACATCTCGGCCGCGCCTGACAAAGAAGACCTACAGATAAGTTTAGTATTTAGGCGCAAAATATCTGTAAATACTTCGGGCGTATACCATGGTAGACGTTTCGCGAGGTTATCCCGAAAAATAATTTTGTCAGGTTATATTTAAGATTTATAACATCCGTTCTTATTTTTATTACTCGCACTCCAGTGGTGGAGCACTTGTGAGTTTTTTTTTATTAATCAATATATTGTGATTCATTCAATGTCTTGTTTATTTGGCTCTCTCTGTGTGTAATGTTACTTAAATTTCGTCATCTCTGTTAGATTCTCCTTTTGTGTGGTGGTCAAGCAAAACAAGTTCCGACTAACATCTCGGGCAGTTGTGGCTTAATCCGTCCTAAGTCACTGGCGCTCTTAACCCCCCCCCTACTCTCGGCTTTATTGAGCTAGTGCCTAAATTTGCACGCCACTAGACAACTGTTTTGCTTGGACCAACCGTTAGGTAGTATCTATCATTGTGATTTAATAATTAACCAAAGAAAAAGGCGTGGCAGTATCGTTGATTTGGCATAAAATGAAAAAAAAGCTACCTTCATGTGAATCTTGCTCGTTTCGGCTAAAGGCAAGTTTCTCCGGAATTATTGCTTGGGAATTCGCCAGCAGGAACCCTAAGCCCATCCCTTCCTATAGGGGGTGGATTTTTCATACAAACGATGGAGCTTATATGTCGAACGAAAGTCATACAGATTCCTACCCCTTACTATCACAACTTAATTGTGCCATCCAAGAAATACCCCCTCGTATGGCATATTCTCCGGCTTTGAAGGGCAGTAATCCCCAAAGTTAAAAGAGGTTGACACACCTTGCAATAACAATTCCTTTGATCCAAATATTACGAATTTCTCGGTTACACTGTATAAGATATACATATCTAGCTGCTAAACCTCCTAGACCCTTTAAATCCGTCCACATCGAGTTCGTGCAAAAACATTTGGTATTCGTATGGAGAACAGAACATCAATGTTTGGAGCAAATCCACCATAACCACTTTTTTCAAAAGAATGGTACTTCATTAAGCCAATGGGTAATTTTGTGTTCATAAGAATAAGGGTAAGTCCGGGGTAGATGGCCATATTTGGCATGGTCACTGATTAGCGTTGTGCATGAGATCCACGGCACGGCAAAATATTTGGCGAAAAAAGAAAGTAAAAGTAAGTAAATCCTTTGTTTTTGTTTCGACTACTGTAATTTTTTTTTATGTCAATTTTTTTACACAATTGTGGTGTCAGTTTCTTAAAATAATGGAAACATTTGTATTTGTTGCAAAGTATAGGAACAATGCTACGTTATAACGTAAAAATTATTTGTTTCATGCCATAGCTTGTTTTATTTTTCGCTGTGGCCATCTCTCCCGGAAAAGAAGTAGAAATTGCCAATTGCAGTCGGTATATGATGGCCATGGTGCCATCGCACAGAAATCATGTTTAATACAAGTAATTGATTTATTTTCATATTTGTTTTAGATGCCTAATAAATACAAGATAAAGGCAGTGGCTGTGAAAGGAAACCGGTCGGAAGAATCACTAAAAGCAACTATTAAGGCTGTGAAAAATGATAGACTGTCCAGTACCAAATACCCAGAAAAATATTAGAAAGAAGAAACTGCTGTCTTGATACGGGTCTAAAGGCCGTCGACGGTTGGAATTTCTTCCTAACGTTTCGCTAGCACGAGTGGCAAGCTTCTTCAGAGGTCCTTCCATTTCCGATGCTGGATGTAGACTGACGATTTCTCTTGCGCAGGTTGTATTTATACCGGAGAGTAGGGGACGTGGCTTGTTCCGCTTCGGTTGACTTCGGGAT